TCCTCTAACAGAAATGAATACCAGGAATCTTCCTGTGGGTAAAGGGCGACCGCCGCGTAAGGCTGACAACCTCACCGCCATCTGTGAGCCGACTGTCTAGAAAACGTGGGAGCCTCCACTGCCTATTACAGGGATAAGATTCTACTATGCTTAATTAAGCACATAGACAATTTGAGTTCTGCTTTTTTTTACATTTTCTAGCAATTTTACACAATACATTTTATCGCATAACATTTACATGTCAGTTCATAATGAGTTAATTCAGTTATCACTACTATGCACGCATATAGCGGCGGGCGCGGAGTAAGAGGAAGTTCTTGCATATGCATGCGCTATGGTGGGAGAAGTTTAGTTCCTTCAACTCTGGCCTATACGCCCACGCGCCCTTCCGGGAATATATTACGCAAGGCAAAAACATTGTTCAAGTGTCCTAATATGGAGAATTACGACATATATCCTGATGCAAGTAAAAAGCAATGTCTAACATGTGCTGCTGTCTCAAAATAAACAAAACATGTTTCTTTTCTGACATGAAAGAACTGTGAAACATACTGAGAGTAAAATGGCTGCCACAGAGAGATTAAAAAAAACTTGCCTGTACCAAAGTACACACTGCACGTCTTCGACGTGTTTATACGGCCCACACGCATAAATCTAGGCTTCCGTATGCATTACCATATTCCTAAAACGCAACATAGAAAATACCAACTTCAATTGGTGTATTCCTTCTTTTTCTTTCTTTCTTTCTTTCTTTCTCTCTTCATACCTTATTCTCTAAACCATTTTATATTTTCTCCTTATTTTTCTTTCTCTTCTTTCTTTTGTTCTCACGTTCTCTCTTTAATTATACTGTAACGCATATGACAAGTGCTAAGCAACGGTTCGGTAAGAACCGCCCGAAAGCTCGCTAAAACGCGTTCTAATGGCAAAGAAGATCCAACAAATATTTCCGTGGATACGAGGAATAAAAAATCTGGGTTTCGACGGGAACAGATTCTTGGGATCACCATGCGTTTCCGCTGCAACGAAGACACTCGTAGTCCAGCAAGGAATGGAGCAAATCTTAGACAGTCATTGACTGCGAGCTGTTGTAATTGGTTGTAGTTGTAATCGAAGTGCCAATAAATCCAACAGTATAATCCAGAACCCATCATTATTAGTCACGTGACAATATCCTTCTTTCTCTCTACATCCTTTCTCCCTTTCTTTTAATCTTTTTTTAACGCAATAACCATCGACACGAACTGTTAGGGATTTGGAGGAGCCCCCTGAACCCCTGAAGGGGTAGCTAGTCTCGCCTTCCGGGGTTCGAGGTCTCTTAGCTCCAACCCTTCGTACTCCAAGGGCCTGTTTTGGCATTCTGCCTTTATCCTGTGTAGGTATGTAGCCATGGCCTAGTTTAATAAATCACTGGAGGTCAGCTCTTCCCAACTGAACCAACTGAGTAGGTGCCTTTCATCTCTCACCTGAGGACAGAAACACAGCCGGTTTCCGAAACGTTTTCTTTTGTGTTTTTTAGAATACACGACGATGGACAAAGTCCTAAACGCCAGTAATTCTGAAAATTTTGTTTTTCAAATTTAAACATTTAGCTCCCTACGTAGTAACCTGATTTGAAGAAGGCATATTAACATTATCTAACTTGGGGGCACATCACCTCCCCCTCCCGCAGAAAGTCGAAAATTTAGTGTGGTAATGGTAAGGCTGCGTACTGACCGAACGACCTACGGACAATAGCCCAAAAGAAGATTCGGGAAACGCTGTCGGAAAATTACTTGTAGCCTAGAGGAATGGGAACATATGAAGTTGTAATTCAGGTACTATTCATTCAAATGCGACTCTGCAGCGAGGCACCTCTGCCTCTTCGTAAGCCTGTTACAGCATGAAGAGTTGACTGACCGGTCCTACGGGTTGCGAAGGCAACCCAGCCAGACTTGCTTGTAGCAGAATCACAACAGCCCTGAACATTTCTCCATCTCATGCAAGTTTCGGTTTAATACAAACATTAATTAAAACTCTACAGAGCTGAGCCCTTCTTGAGAAGCCGCCAGTCGCTCAGTCGCTCAGTCACTCAAGAATTTACCAACATTTTAAGAACGCGAACGTTCATTACCGTGTTCACCAGAGCCCTCCACTGGTCCCTATCCTGAGCCACATCGTTATCCTCTCACCTAAGGCTTTTCCTAGTGGTCTGTTCCATTCTGGCTTTCTTACTGCATTCCACTTCGCCCAATGCGTGCTACATGCCCTCTCCCTCTCATTCTTCTTGATTTCATCATTCTAATTATACTCGGAGAAGAGTAAAGGTTATGATGTTCCTCATTACGCTGTTTTCTCCAGCCTCCTGTCATTCATCCCCATTCGGTCTAAATATTCTCCTCAGCACACTTTTTCAAACACTCTCAGTCTATGTCCCTCCCTTAATGGCAGAGACCAAGTTTCACGCCCATACGAAGCCACGGGCAAATTAATTCAAACATTTCTGGACTTAGCAGAGAAATATAGGCCGTGTCATAGCTCAAGCGGTTAGTCGCTGGCTTCCCACAGCGGCGGCCCTGGTTCGATCCCGGGTCTGGTCAAGTGAGATTTGTGGTGGACAAAGTGGCACTGGTACAGGTTTTCTCCGAGTACTTCGTTTTCCCCTGCCAATCTTCATTCCACCAACTGCTCCACAATCACCCTCACCTATCATCTGGGGCTGGTACAATAGGCCAGAAGTGGCCGCAGTACAAGGGATTTAGTCCCACCCCACTAGCATTAAAAAAAAAGTTTAGTACCACCGTATAATGACAACAGATGATTATATCTCAGTGAGAGGCCATATCCTGAACCAGTTCAATCCATTCCACATCCTCACACGATTTTCTTAAGATTTTAAATGTTATTCTCCTTCTACGACTAGATCTCTCAAGTCTCCTGTTTCTTTCAGGTTTTATACCTAACATTTTGTATGCATTTTACATCTCTCCCATACGTGCTACATGCTCATTCCATTAAGTAATTTTCTCCAGCTTCATTTTACTGCCTCCCTCTTGAAATGTTGTCCCTGCAGTTAATGCAGCACAACGCCATGAAGACATACAGCGGGGTTGACGTACACACAATTTGACGCACTGAGCTTAAAGCAACGACCGCTTTAATTGTGCGCAAGCCCCCCTATAAATTGGACACGAGGCTGGATAGACCCTAGAGTCAATTTGGGCACTGTGGGGGAAAAGATCTGGTTCCTGCCTGGAATCGAACCCCGATTCCTCTGTCCTCCAGCCTGCAGCCTTGACACTATACCGACTGAGCTGCCTCGGCTTAAACCCCACTACTCTCCTCATTATCCTATTGTCAAATGCCCCCAATCCATATTCTTCTTGACAGTGAGACCAAGTCTCACATCCGCAAAGTTCAGACACGTAATATGATGGTTTTATATTGTATATTTTATAACAATGTTCTTTCTGTCATAAATTCTGAAGCAAAATACGGCCAAAATTGTATAAAAAGACAATAAACATCAAGCAGATCACTGTCGGCTAAATTCTTAAAATTCGAATTTACATTTTCGCGAAAAGCAAATATCCGTCAATGACAGTTTTGCATAGGGTTTCGCTCCAAGCTGTGGTGCAAACCTCGTTCCGGTTTACTTAGATTTTAGAGTACAAGCTAGCAGGTTTGCTGGTCATTTGGGAAAACCTGGGCCACAAGCGTTGTCAAAAAGGTCAAGAGTAGTGGAGCTATATCTCAACTCCCCAATACGTCTTCACGACGTGATGCTTAATGAATTAAGCACTTGAAAAACTTCAACCGACTTTTACCGTTTTATATTATCTTATACAATACAGCACCACTGGAGTGATCTGGCTCAGGACTGGGGCTCTTGTGAACACGGTAATGAACGTTCGAGTTCCATAAAATGCTGGGAAATTCTTGAGTAGCTGCAGAATTGGCGGCTCCTCAAGAAGAGCTCAGCTCCATCAGTAAGTACAATACAGCACTAATCGAGCAATGACAAAGACATGGATTGTCTGTCTCAATTTTATATAACAAGATTGCTGATGGAGCAGCAAGCCTATGAGAAGCAAATTCTGAAGAAGATTAAGTAAAAACGCACAGGAAAGAGATGCGCCACATATAATTTGTAACCTCGGCACTATAATGCAAACTAGCCCCGAGGCCCAAATTATTTCTTGAAAGTTGATGGTAGCTGGTAATGGAATCCTCTGCCTTACGAACATCAAAACTCAGCCAACTAAAACCAGTCTACCCCCTACTTCCTTAACATCCTTTTTAATATTGCCTTGTCCCAGGTCTCAAAAGTAGTTTCTTCCTTTGAGGTTTGCGACCAAAATTTTATATGCACTTTCATGGGAGCCAATCAAATTGAAACTGGCGAGACATGATACATCAATGGAAAGAACACGGAAAAACGTACACTGGAAAATTTGCGGGGGGTGTGGGGGCAGCACAATACAAAGATTTTATATAAGATGGCGTTATAAAGATCCTTATGGCTCAGTTTGGGTGACACTGCCAAAACTGAGCTGTTAGGTTAGGCTCCATCAGTTCTAGGGCCAGTTCAATTATACATAAAGAAATTACGTTTTATTCAGTACATCTATATATTTAAATCTCTATATAGACTACTGACATAAATGTAAGTACTGGCTGGTCTTATGTATCGCTACGTCTTGCAAATAAAAGGAAACATTTCTTTAGAGAAGGACCGGTTTGAACTGATAAGCCACTATCTAAATAAGACACGAAGAGTATACATCGTAAAAACCCCTCGTTCCTCAATTACTACGAACAAAATGAGGGTGCCAATCTTAACTACGGTTAATAAATAAACATTAAACAACAACTACAAATCTTAAAGCCTCCCAGCTACTGCGAACAGAATGAGGACACGGCTTACATACATAACCTGACCATCTGGCACTTGTCTAGAACACAAAACAACTTCAGAGGGGAACTGAAGGTGTATTTCTGCTGGATTTGGTTGGACTCACCCCCAAGTAACGCTGAAACCCACAGTCAGCTGGTGTAGCACCTCCAGACTACAGCAGTATCCGCTGACACGATTCTCTGCTATTTCTTCCTCAGCAGCCACTCCCGAAATCTCACAACAGGCCAGCAAGCTGTAACTGCTGCTTGGTCTCCCACCCTCCCTTCCACTCTCTTCGCGCTGTTCAGCTGCCTCCAAGACCCCGTTCACAGCAGTAACATCTTGCCTGGGCCATCAAATCTTCAGTTCACCAGCTGTCGTCGTAACAAACTACTGAACAAAACTGTCCTACTTCTTGAGCAGGGAGCCGGGGTAGTGTAGTCGGTATAGCGACTAGCTATGGGCTGGACTACCGAGGGGTCGGAGTTCGCGTCCCGGTAGGGTCAAGAATTTTCTCTTCTCCAAATCGTCCGGACCGGCTCTGGGGTCCACCCAACCTCAAATCCAATGAGTACCAGGTGCTCTTTCCCTGGCGGTAAAGCTGCAGGGACGTGAAGCCAACCACTCGCCTCCAGCTAGTGCCGTGGTCAAGAAAATGTGGATCTATACACCCACTCCACCATACGCCTTCATGGCATAGTGCTTAAATAGTTAAACACAGGGAGAACTTTACCTTACCTTACCTTTATATAACCAACTGGTATCCTGCTCTCAGAATCAAACGTACACAGTTTTTATACCGCGCCGACTCGCATAACAGGAATCAAGACATTTCCTTTGCCCAAGACTGGCTCCATGCATCCGTGAAATGGAGCTGGGTAGTGGCATTTACTTCACTCCGCTCCAGATGAACTGCTCGAACAGCCATTATTCACTCAAAAATTAATTAAATAGTGTAGTTTCCTTGGAATCAGATTGAAAGATGGTTCGGTTAACAGTATGGGCACAAGTAGGGAGGAAGGCAAAAATCTGTCCCCCACCCCACCCCTGTAGTCTTAGAAAGAATCGAACTTGAAGAAAAGGAGGAAGTATGTCAAATATTAATAAAAATTTAGAGTATTTCAAAAAAATATCTTTCCATCCCGAATACTCTGGGACATTAGTAAAATTGTCTTACATTCCTGACATATATGTTTGTAAGGGAGTTTTCCGGATGACAGTCCTTGGAGAACTGCCCTGCGAAAAATTCCGGCATCACTCACTGTGAACTGAGTTTGAATACCTTAACACTAGCAGGATATGACGATCCCTCAATCAGCGTTCAGCGCCGTCCGTCTCGAAACAGTATTGTCCGACAGTCATGTATTTGCCAGCCTCGTTGCTAGTTGTGTTTTATTTGCGAGTTCTATTTTGTTTGAATGTTCTTGGCTGTATTCTTATTCATTATCTTGTGACGCTCGTATCGCCGTTGGATTTGACAACAGCGCTACATTCCTCTGTCCCAGCTGCAGTTTCCTACATCTCACACAAGCGGAGTCGGGGATCAACAAATCTCGGTTAGACTCTACATAAGGACAGCCGGTGTCCTAGCTCAGGCGGTCAGTCGTCGGCTTTCTACTGCGAAGGCCCAGGTTCGATACCAGGTCAGCTTATGTTGGGATTTGTGGTGGACGAAGTGGCAGTGGAGTAGGCTTTTTTTTCGATGTTCCTTTGGGTCCCTTGGCAATTCGCACCGTCTTCGTCATATTTGTCTATCATTCGGGGCTTATAAAATACAGGCCGGCGTACCAAGTTGACACAGTCTTACCCCATCCCACAAGCAAAGACCAATGGCTGAATAACATAGATAACATTTTCCTTCACACTAGGTCTGCGGGGTGCAGGTGGTAATACCCACATGAAATCAACAGACAGCACAATCAAAGCGCAGTGTATCAGTTTTACTGAACTTTCGTCAACCTCATGCTTCAATTTTGCAACACGTTTCGGTCCTCAATAGATCTTCTTCAGGTTTATTTACGGAGATTAAAAGGAAATTTACATAAGTTTTGTACGGATTGAATGCAAGTGAACACTATTAAAATATGGCAATGCTCGAGCCATATTAGAAGAACTGCCAATCACCATGCGACTAAACTAACAAGAATTAGCGCTGTATTCCCTTTAAATCAGTCTTAACTTCAGCGTTATTTGCGCCAACAATCGACGCATTTCCAGTGTGAATACGGCCCGTCATGAGCATAGTCAAAGAGAACGCCGGAAAGCGAAGGCGGACCGGACGATGAAGAAAGCTAGGGCAGGCTAGCAGAGATGCTTATTCAGTGTGGGAAGAGGGGCGAGGTTAAGTAGCATTGCAGTAAACACATGTTCAAAGCAACTTCGAATGCTTGGATTATTCATTCTGGTTTCGTAGTATTCTGGAATATCAGCAGCCCAAAGAAACTTAAACGGGCGATGGCAGTTTATTGAGTTTAAACGATTTAAAGACACTGTTTCAACTACAGAGGTTATACACCGTCAATTGAGATGGGAATATGTTTATGAATAACCAGAAATAGTTAAGATGCCGCCAGATTGTATATCACTCAGATTCTGCGGACGTGAATATATTAAGATGGAGGATGAATGGACGTAGCGGTTATGAACGGTATTCAAGGCGCTATTTAAACAAAATCTGTGCTTTTATTCTGGCACTACGTGACGATACGCAGTACCGGCAACTCTCTAACAAATTACAACTCCGATATTAATAATTAATTAAACTTATTTTATGAAAGCGATCACATATCGACTCAATGGCATAACATTCATACTGAATTTCGTGAAAAATGAGCAGCTGGTTCAAAAGCAGAAAGGGTGACGTGCGCGAGTTGCGGTTATCTTTTTCCTCACCAAATCGTACTGAAACCAGACAAAACTTACAACACGAAACATGTCCAACCAATAAGTATTATATCAACTTGTACTCAAAGCAGATTAATTATTACCAACATAAGAAAAATTAAAAATGAACAGTGTAACCTTTATATGTAATAATACAAATGCCGTCGTGAATGCAACAATTTATTTGGTTGTAGTTCTTTATCTTTTCTTCCTGTACGCTACAGGTTTCGGCGGTAACTGACCTGATGATGGCCAGTTACGGCCGAAACATGTAGTGCAGAGGAAGAAAAGACAAAAGATCTACAACCAAATAAATTGTTGCATTCACGACGGCATTTGTATTATTGTAGAAGTGTATAGTGCAACAGGATGCTTAAATATAATATAGTGCAACTTTTCATTAATCTTTTCATAACAAATTCCGAATATCCTGAATCAGCATTCCTATTTCTGTAAACGTGTTCGCCGTTATTCTCACGCTCCGGTTTAGCCTCACGGTCGAAACACGTACTGCACTAGCGCGATGTTTTAAGAGTTTGGCGGCGTGAGCATCTGCAGATAAAAGCACTATGGCGAATCAAATTCCAACCCCTGATACATTCATTTTCATCCCATTCCTTCCATTGTTCCACGCTCTTCATGCTATTTTGATGTTTGAATTCAAAGAACATTCGTTGGGGGGGTGGGGATTTTTTTTTTTTCGAAATTAAGTCGAGACTATCGGCCAAATTTTCGAAAAATAACATAGGCATTCCCGGAGGTGCCTTCCAGGTGGTCCAGACCTGCTCTGGGGCCCACCCAGCATCCCTTCCAATGGGTACCGGGTGCTCTTTCCCTGGGGGGAAAGCAGCTGCGGCGTGAAGCTGACCACTCAACTCCAACTAGTGCCTAGGCCAAGAAAACGTGGATCTATACAGACACTCTCCCATACACCTTCATGGTATACTTTACCTTTTACACGGAAGGGCTTGTATGAAATATATGGCAGCGGAATATCTGAGAAAGCTATCCAGTGCTGAATGCTGACTCAGTATCCTGCTGAATGAGCTGATGATCGTGTGTGTACTTTGGCACCCATATCATGCTGCGAGAAATTAACATAACACGAGGATGGAAGCTTATGTGTCTCAACATCAGCGATTTTAGACGAAATAATATTCTTTCTTCTACAGTTTTGATGGAATGTACTGTCAACCATTGTTCTAGGGAAACATGTAATTTAAATTCAGGCACATTCGCATCTAACGAAAAGATACACGAAAGCCAGCGATCATTCGGGCCGAAGCACAGCATGGCGCATCCTCAGCCTGCAGCCGGAGATGGCTTTCATATATGGAGTGTCTGCGAAATACTAGCAGTCGCAGGCAGCCAACAACGGGTGCTGCTCTACACCGTTAACTTTGCGGGGCAAACACTTCTTTTTCTCTCTCCCCTCGCTCCCACTTTGAAGCACAGGGCTGATTTATCACTTTCATGATAATTTTGCAGAAGTTGGAATTCGAACGAACGATCCCGGCTTCCCTGCGAGCGAAGAAAGTAAATGCCTTAGACCACTCGGCTACCGTGACCGGCAAACACCTTATCCTAAAGAAAATAACTGGCACATTACGAAACTGGGCTGGTTCGTCTGGCCAGGACACGTTCTTATAAATACGGTAGTGAACGTTTGGGTTCTAGAATGGCGGAGAATTTAACTGACTGATTGTTAGCTTCTCAAATACTCTATTCCATGGATTTATTTGTTAGGTTACAGCACGTGGCCGCGCCATAGCTCAAGCAGTTAGTAGCTGGATTCCCACCGTGGCGGCCTGGGTTAGATCCCAGGTCTGGTCAAGTGGGATTTGTGGTGGATAAAGTGGCGCTGGGGCAGGGTTTCTCCGAGTACTTCGGTTTCCCCTGCCAATCTTCATTCCATCAATTGCTCCACAATCACCCTCACCTACCATCTTGGGCTGGTACAATAGGCCAGAAGTGGCCGCAAGTACAAGGAACTTAGTCCCACCCCACTAGCAATAAAAAAAATACTACCTGATATCATCTCTGCAGTAAGGATGCATGCCATATTCCAGGAAAATTGGATGCTCTGACCAGATACATACCATTAGTTCAAGTACTCTCTTTGGCAGGTTTATAGGCCGACAGGGTAACAGGCTGGAGGTCATGAAAAATAATTCACAGATCCTTGACATTCTGCGACATACAAAACACAAACGGCTGAAAGCCAGAATATTGCAATATTGTGATCAGTAAAGTTGCTCAATGCAAGTCATATTTCTGACTGCTCATGAAATGGGGAGGCCAGGAAGAAAGAGTCCAGGCACATTTAGACAACTTCACATACGTACAGTGTGAAAGGATAAATATGTTTGAAATTCCACAAGAATAACACAACATCAAATTGTACATACTGTAATAAAACTATGCAATGAATGCCTGAACGTTTGCAGATGTTTACGGGAATTTTTAAAAGCAGTTACTTTCTGTGTAAATGTGTTTTACATGTGCTAAACTTCACTGGGGAGGGAGGAACAACAATTATACATGCAATGTGTATTAGTAGCACAAGGAAAATAATTTATGCAATGAAGTAGATATCGGTAAAATGAGGAACATAAGACAATGAGCAATTGAAACTGCATTAATCTAATACTATTACAATTAAATTAAGCACAAGACAGAAATGCCATGCTCTATCGGAAACAAAAAGTTCATACAAAATAATGGCTGCAGATCCCTATGAAAATAATCCATTTGTAAGGCTGTATGTAGATGACTCTAATATGTGGATTTCAGCAAACATATCTATTATTTTAGGCTGTGTCCACTGGCCTGAGTTCTCTTTGAACACATTTTGAAACTCAGTTTGTACCAACTTGTGTGATGGAACAAAGGATCCTACTCAGGTGTCTTATGATGGTCCATATTCAGAGTTCCTCTCCATATCAGGTCATGTCTTCCATCCACAATTGAGAACATTCCATGTTGTGGTTATTAGGAGATTTTTTTTATTGCTAGTAGGGTGGGACTAAGTCCCTTGTAAAGCGGCCTCCATAGTCTAGAGGTAACGTTTCCACCTCATGACTCGTAGTACGTGGGTTCAAATACCCAGCGGAGGTCATCGAATTTTTAAGGGTGGAAAAATTCAGGGAACAAGTCCTTCGGGAGGGACTTTAAGCTGTGGGTCCCGTGTCGTAGCTTTACGGAACGTAAAAGAACCTCATATCTCCAAAGGTCACTGAGCCAAATTAACGGATGTTTCCCACCCAACAGCAGTCTCTTAATACCTCTGGTAGATGGGGGAAGCATTATAGATACCTCTCAGCTAGTAGAGCTGGTCTCGCTGGCTGGGCGGGACTGATGGTAAGCACCAGTACCAGTAGGATATAGAGACTGGTAGAAATCATAGAGGGAAGCACAATGGACCAATACAGGTCTCAGTGAATGGGGAAACCCACCCTCTCCAATAACTAACTAAGTCCCTTGTACTGCGGCCACTTCTGGCCTATTGTACCAGCCCCAGATGATAGGTGAGGGTGATTGTGGAGCAACTGGTGAAAAGAAGATTGGCAGGGGAGACCGAAGTACTTGGAGAAAACCTGCCCCAGCGCCACTTTGTCCACCACAAAACCCACTTGACCAGACCCGGGATTGAACCCGGGCCGCAACGGTGGGAATCCAGCGACTAACCGCTTGAGCTATGGCACGGTCTATTAGATACAATTAAGATTCTATGTTCTCTCCTTACCTGCAAACTTAACAGCCATGCACAGTTGCTCTAAATGATATTACACACGATCATCTGGCAAATCACTTTCTAAAATAGCATCAAATAATAGTGAGAAGAAACTTTCAGGCACTGGAAGTACCAAATTACAATCAATCATACACACTGATAGTGACTACCCAACTTGGTATTTCAACAGTTTGGTTTTATGAGTATGAATATTAATTCATGAATCAGCCCTCATTCTCAGCAACTACTTGCGGAAAATAGGTCTGTGACAAGTTGTCTACTGAACTTCTATGGATGGCTACACACAGCTGTACTCAATAACTTCTCCTAATTATACCTGTCTGTCCTTAGCAAACAATAAACATAAGAAAGCAGCAATACTAACACTTAAGTAAAATTTTCCCTTCCTTTTTTTTTATTTTTTGTTTTTATTGCTAGTGGGGTGGAGTTAAGTCCCTTGTACTGCGGCCACTTCTGCCCTATTGTACCAGCCCCAGATGATAGTTGAGGGTGATTGTGGAGCAGTTGGTGGAATGAAGATTGGCAGGGGAAACCAAAGTACTCGGAGAAACTCTGTCCCAGTGCCACTTTGTCCACCACAAATCCCAGACCAGACCTGGGCCGCCGCGATGAGAAGCTAGCAACTAACTGCTTGAGTTATGGCGTGGCCTTTTTTCACTATTACAGCAGCACTGATTTCTACTACCATTTATTCCAACTGTACTATATTTCAGCTTAATTATGGGTCAAATATGCTACTGTGCACTGGGATGCAAAAATAACCAACATGTGACTACAGAAAATTTAGTTCCCATAAAATAATACTTCTGGCATTTGAGCCTGTTTATTTATGGCTTATTTTTAGACTGTCAGTAGCTCACGACAGTATGGCTTCAAATGACAGGATAATTAATTATGTGGAAATGGTCATGCCCAAATTTGGGGTGCTATTCCATTGTTACCAAAGTTGGGGTAGCTGGACCCAGGACCTCATAAATGGGGAAATGACCACGCTGCTTGGCGTGATTTGCTCATAACTGAACACTGCCTGTAGACTGTTATGCCAGTGAAGAATTATGTATATCACAATCCCAGATCAAAACTTCATGAATATTACGTTGCTGAACCAACTTAATGGGGGTGAAATCCAGGAATCTACATGTTTAATGTGAGCTGCTGATTGGCATGTTCAGTCTGTGTTGCTGCAATGAACCCTCTATGGAGTAGGCATGAAACAATACTTACTACCATTACAAAATCAAACTGCATTTCTGTAAACCTGGTGCCCTGTACTGTCTTAATTTTAATGAATTCATTAAGAATTACGCAGTGAAGACGTATGGAGAGTTGCATATTTTATGGATTTTGTGATGACACATAACTCTGACATAACAGAGACAAATTAAGTTGTTATGTCTGTGCAGTTACTACAAATCATTATATCTGATGCACTATAAATTTCTTTGGTATCTTTTATTATCAACACTGAGAGTATTTCAACCTTTTATGTTACTGTTAGACAGTTAATATGGTGTCTGAAAGAAAACTGGATCTATATGAAATGATTCTTAGCAGTTGAATCATCAAAAGGAAAGATATAATGAACTGAATATGAACTTTGACTGTACGAGAAGCATGGCATAATAATTATCCTTGAATAATTTTAGCTGGGTCTGGGAAACAGTAGAAGGAATGCTGTGGAACACTGGCAAGGTTTCAGGATTCACAAAATATAAAAACCATCTCAAGCCTTGTTTGTTATGCAACCACTTTCTTTCCCAATAGAACGTTTGATTGAATATCCCTTGCAATGAAACAATATTTCTTAATACTGTAAGAATGTGAAGTTATTTTCATGTATTGACTAGCGGAAAATTGTACAACAGTTCTTTTTGTTACCTTCATCGCTTTTAAAGGAATGATGATCTGGCACTTAGATTCAAGAAAAAAATGGATACATACTCAAATAGATACATTCAACTTCTATAAAAAAGGGGGGTGAACATACATGAAGTTAACTTAAAATGAAGCATTTTATTATTATTATAATAATTATTTTAAATTATCACAGGGAATACTAATGATTGCGTGATGGCCAGAGGGAGATGTTATGTAGATGATTTAAAAGAATAACACACAAAAACAACCAATTCTCTGAGGAAAACAACAGTAACAAAAATGTACACCACAAGACTCACAAAGGTTAACATCTGTAGCACTGAACAGGTTTTGGTTTTCAAGAACGAATAAAAAAACTACTCCGACTTACTTATACCAGTCAAATACTCCTTGCATAAAACAAATACATTTTAATTTCTTTTATCTTTATAAAGTCTTTCAGTTCCAGCTTCACACGAATTCTTGTCCACAAAACATGACACATCACTTCCAAAAAAAAAACAAAATCTCTCATCAACTCCCCCAACAAACAAAAAACAAAGCCACCTAAAACCTTGCAGATAAAGTAATAATAAGTTAAAGACATCTGAACATCAAGCAATGCTATTTTTAAAGGTTTGGTTAGGTGCTGAGAGAGACTTCTATTACCCCTGTCACATGTAAATGTTCACTGCTGAGAATCCAGTTTGAGAAGTCAATCATTAGACATGGGAAATAAACTAAACACCTTCTTCTCCCCCACTTCCTGTTCTTTCCATGCCATCATAATAATAATAAAGAAAAAAAGAAAAAAAAAAAAAATATTAACAGCACCAGCATTCAAATATTCTCATGCAATATGTGACTTGAAATCTGCAGTCCAGCTACCACTCTAGCACTACTGCCCCTCCACTTCCACCATACTTCAACCATCTGCTAAAATCATACCAAGGCTTCCTTCCCAGTTTGCGGCGTCTTCGTTCCCCTTTAAATTTAAGGTTAATTCCACATCTCTCATCACTCAAATACACATAATGGCTGAACAGGGATTCAATATTCAAGCAACAGAAACCTGCTCAAAACTGATAACATCAAAGAAACTCCGAAGAGATCTGTGAGAATTCCAGGCTTAATTTCAAAAGGGAAAAGATCATGGCTGTATAAAGGAATCCCATTTCTCTTCAGTCAAAGTCTTGTGTTGCAGTATACTGGATTATGTAGATTGTAACAAATGGCAACTGTGCGCAATTCCATTTTTAAACATTTTTTTTACTTACAAATAATCACTGTTCAACGAATGAATGATTTAAATCAGAATGTTTATAAGACAACTCCCTGCACTGGTAATATTTAACTTGGACTCATTCCTTCTGTTTAAGCTGGGGAATTGCGCGCTTTATTTTTGTAAACACACATTTCTCGGTAGGGACTAATGTTATCGAAATAATGCGTGATTTGGGGTTTGTTAACGTCCATAGACAGGCCGGTTCATTCCTCCTCCACGACCCTCTCGGGAAAAACCGCGGCCACCCCCACGGTGAGGGCCCATACCTGGCCCTCCCCTCATTATTCCTCCAGTTCCTCCCCGAGAGCCACCCAGCCCACTGGAAGGACGCCTGAACATGGTGTCACCTCCGGAAGCCATGCGGCCATCCATTGACTGTCGGCCACGTGGTTTCTTTTCCTCCACATTCAGCTTTTGTCCACCTTCAGGTGGAAAGTAGAATGGCTGAAACATAACAAAACATTTTTAACCATCATTTACTAATACCAAATTAGAACTCTAGCATAAAATATGCATGTTGCATCACACACAGAAAACACTTCTTGTGATTTACTTCCAGAAGAGTAAAATTGTTTCAGCAAAGCTGCTGCTCCCTCTTGTCATCAGTGATAAACATTAACTGGGATCACATACACAATTTCCAACATCAAAATTAAATAATGTTACAAAATATTCTTCTCCATCCAAACTATCTACTTTAACATTTACCTGCAATACAATGCATAATAAATTAGAGAACATCTTAAAGTAGGGGTACATTTATTTATTCTCATGTGTAGTGTGGTGTGCATAACATAAAGAATACAACAAAATTAAATGGTCAATTCCACATTAACATACACTGTCGGAATAAGATCTAAAATTTTGCGATTATGGTATATTACTACAATTGAGTTTCTGGACATTATCCATTATTAAAACAAAATGTTTTGGAGACTGGATTCTGTCTTTGTCTTCAGGTAAAGGCCCACTCAGTTGAGCCCAATCAATAGAGCTAGTCCCTATCTACAGTGACCTGAATATGGAGACAGAATCTAGTCTTCGAAATGCTGTTTTAAAATCAGGAAAAGGGATAATATTCAAAAACTCAATAATTGTGCACACTGTGGGGCACGAGATGATCCAATATTTAAACTTTGCATGGATACTGCAATATCACATAGACACAAATTTGCAACATACATAAGGACCCAAGTATGGAGATTATCTTTAACAGAGGGTATGTGCAATGTAACTGCTGTTCTGCCATACAACTTCTATCAGATGAACACACATATATCAGTGACCACACTCTGGCATGTTATCCATAAACTGTTGCCACAGCCAGATGATTATAGCCCTGGGCTCCATCTCAGAGGCCATCCATTTTAGAAAGAATTTTTCCTCCATCAATTCCTAGAGGACAAAAGCATGGGATTCAACCTCATGATGATAACTGAGGAGCTGTTTCAAAGAAATGGCGGCTCTGGTCTAGAAAACCGAAATTAATGATCGTGGGCATTTGTTGGGCTGACCACATGACAACCTCTATCTGCAAAAGTTGGCACTCAACTTCGCCCAAAAGCGGCAGTTGCTCGGTCGGTATAGTTTGTTTGCAGAATAAAATCACGGAGTTTATGTGTAACATGGTCCCATCGCGCATAAACCACTGTCATTAATGGTACACCAGATGCAACAAGATGAGGCAAAAAACTGTTACAAATTTTCTGCTCAGGTACCACTCAGAGTCCACAGCTTGGGGCCAGGGAGTTTGATTAGCTCTTGGCTTCATATGGCAGCTCACACTGTGATCTCGGCTGCATTATGTACTTTCTCCATGAAAATGTATGGATCATCCACAGCCAAGAACATACACATTTTGTATGCTCACTATTCCATGCATGTGGAGATATATAACATCCGAAAACCACACACTGTGCAGTATGGCTTCTTCATGTTTAGACCACACAGTGAACTCCAATTTATGCTGTCAATCACATGCAAATTTAACTGCATGATTTTCTGAATAAAACGTCAGTATACAGCTAATTCCAATACAGTTCTCCCTGTTGATTCTCTTGAACTCAGTTGTAGTGCAACTCAGTATCATGTTTTGGGCAGTATGCACACTTCCAGCAAGATGATGGTTTCACTCTGAAAATGAACCATCTTGCTGAAAGTCAAGTAAGCCTGTATACGTATGTCTTGTGAAGGGGCCAACTGTCCCTAAATGAGCATAACAATGACTGTATGTTGCAACAAAACTTCATATTTTGGCAGAAAAAGGTTTACTCTTTTCTCAACAGTGAATTTTCCTTTACCTGCCATCCCAGTAACTGTCAATATACATTCTTTTGGCATGAACATGGTATGAAAATGCCCCCCAGTGGAATCTTTATGAAGCAGTGCATTCATCCTAGTGATTCAACATTAGTCTGCAACAAATTTGCTGCTTCAAAGTCAAAGAAATTGGGGATCATATCACATGGCACCCTGGACTAAAATCATTATGTATAAAGATAATTTAAATTAACTGGTCTGAGATGATGGCAACAACAACAATAACAGTAAGCAGTACTAGCAGCAGTTTGAACCAGCCTCTTGGGAGCAAAATTTGGCTGCTCAGTATGTCCATAATTCAGGTTTGTTATTGGTACAGGACTACCTCCATACATCACAACACTCTCCACTGTTTAGTTACTCCAGAAATTTCCTGACTTCTACGTATGATGAAGGTCCATCACCATGCACACAACAGCCTGACAATGGTACCAATGATGAGACAAATGAATCCAGTTCATGAACTTACACTTCAGTTCTTTAAGATTCATTTTAAGATTATTCTCTTAGCTATGTCCTCCAAATGGTTCCCTTCCTGTTAGGTTATTAGTATACAAGAGTTCAATCTGGCTGCCCATATAAAAAAATATTACTTGCAGTCACTTACCCCACCACCAAGAACCTTCTGAACAACATTTGCATCATCAAAGATAATGAATCCATAGTTTGGGACTCTACTTCCAGGAACTCCTTTATTACTTTGTTTGCTGTGAATACGGAGATCAATGATGGTGCCAAACTTGCCAAATAATTCCTGTAACAAACCAACAAACAATTAGTGCTTTTCAAGATGTTAAACATGGAAGTCTTTATGAATAAATAATTTGTCATGAATTGCATGCACATGATGCGCAGGCACAAACAATAATCTCTCAGTGCAGAGAGCAAGTTATTTCAAATCATAATGTGTGATATCTTCCAACACATCTGCGACCAAACATAGTGCATAATGCTTTGATACCTGTCACTGTCAGCTAGCAGCTCTTGTAAAATCCTATATCCAGTAAATTTCTTTTTGGTCTCAACTGAAGCACACATAAATAATGAGTATTTTCCCCACACACAGTGAATTTTTGTTTAGTAACATGACTTAATTGCTTTAGTTCCATAGGGCTCCTGTGAAGCTTCTCCATCTTCTCCTCTGGTTTGCAAATGCCTTAACCTCTCTCCAGGTCTTTCCCATCCCATTCCAAGAGAATGCATATTTTTCTATGGCGCCAACTGGTTTCTTAAAGTGTGCCCAATCCATCTCCATTTTCTCTTCTTAATTTGGATGTAAACTGGTTCTTGTTTTGTGAATTCCCACAGAGAGTTATTTGATACTGTGTCTAGCCATCTTATGTTTAAACTATGTCTTAAACAGCTATTTACAAAGCTTTGTAGTTTGTTCATGCTTGTTTTTAATACTTTCCATGTTCCACAGGCATAAAGGAGAACGGATTTTATACTACTATTAAAAATCCATAATTTAGTTTTCTTTGAAAGGTATTTAGTAACATACCTGCATTTTAAAACATTTCTGACCTTCCAGAAGTCATACCTTGATTTAGTGCGACTGTAGCCGAGACAACAATCAATATCTACATTTTTTTTTACAGGAAATCATTTCTGGACAATCATATCTTTGGCAACTGACATCACATATTCAGCATCTACTAAAATCATTCCACTTGGAGAATCACAGTTGCTTGTGCATGCACTGCAGCCAAAGTACCCGCGGCATTACACTTGCCTTGGCTCATGACTGAAGCTCTTTTAGTATTTATTTCATGTCATTAGTTATATTAGAAATGAATAACATTATTAAGGCTTGGCTAGTGCAGGTGGTCAAGCTGTTTGATGGCCATGGCAAATTCTTGCAAGGATTCCCTGACCCTGTGGGTCCTTCTTTTCAGCCGACTGCAATATGTGGTGGCAAAGTGTTGGTCTCTGAAAAACGGTCCTCCAGGGCCTCAAGGGTTTCCTTGTAAGCTGTGCCTTCAGGGATTCTGTGCAGCATGTAGGTGGTCTGGCCTTGCAAGGCTGTGATCAAATACGTGGCTTTCTCCTGGTATGTCCAACAGTTGTGCTCCACTATGGTCTCGAACTGGCACCGGAACATTGTCCCTGATGCAGTCCCACTGATCTTCAGTGGCTGTGTTGTGCTTGTGCTGGCTCCTGTTCCTGTTCCATACTCAGTCCAGGCCTCAAATTCTTTTAACTGTGTCTGAAACTCGCATCAGGTGGCCTCAATTAGGGCCTTCAATGTCTGGGTCTTGATCTGGAGCATGAGGCCAAACTCTCTGTGAGGGCCATTTCCCATATTTGCTATGGCCTTGTAAAAATCCTTCTTTACATCCGTTATATTGTCCTTGAAACTCCTGGTCCACATATCGATGGACATCTTTACTGCCTGTGTCCACCTGCATTTCATCAATCTTCTCATTATATTCCTTGCAGAGGCCCCACGTCCTTTGATCGACACATACCAGGATGTCTTCCACCTGAGGTTTCATGGCCTCTTCTAACTCGGACAAGATGGAGTGTACTGCAGCCTCCGTTTCTTCCTGACTGCACTTCATTGTGACCTCCATCTTATACTGGATAGCACTTACTCTGGCTCTCATCTCTTCTTGGATGGCATCAATCCAGGAGGCGAGGGAAGCCACCTGGGATTTCATTTCCTCTCGTCAGTCTTCCATCTTTTCTTGGTAGGCATCTATTTTGCTTTCCATCCTTTCTTGGTTGGTTTCTAACTTTTTCTCAAATGGTTCTCATTTCTTTTCTGTTGGTTCTTATTTCAGCCAGGAGGTGTTCCGGTATTTGTTCTATCTTTGTAGTATGTCGATACAAGTACTTGCTGCAATCTCCATCCAATTAGATGATCAATCCAATCCCATTTCTGACACCTGTTTGTCATGTGTATCAGTGGCTACAGACAGGGTTTAGATCAGTGCATAGATTTACTGACCACTTACAGGTCGTAACTATGAATAACTATAACAATACTGATGAGTTCCATACTAAGTTTTCTCAGTCTACATTCACTAGTCTTTACTTGGTAACAGCTCTCAACAATGGCTATTCCTATGCAATCTTTTCACTAAATGATTCCTGGTAATGAATCTTCAGCTTGTGTTGCCCTCTGGTTAACACTACACACCTGAACCCTCAGATGCACTGCATTCACTTTATGAACTGAAGTAGGTCGGTCGAGTCATATACCCTTGGAGCAGACCCAGAGAATGCCACCTACAACACCTCTTCTAGTGTTGCGTGACATCACAGTGCATGTGTATGCTGCAGGCACTACATAGCAATGGCTGTTGTTTACAGTCACCACTTAGCAACAGTTCTATACAACACAATAGTCACCAGACACCAACCTATGATGGGTACACACTTCAACATAAATAAAATCTGTTCAACTGTTAAGCTCCTATCAAGCTGCACATCCACAGCAGTTCAGAAGTGATTTTTCCATTTTTAGGAGGGTTAAAAAAAGGTGTAAATCTATCAAAATCTTGAGACCCATGAGATAGAAAATAAAAGGGAGAAATAAAAATGACCATTTGGTAATGTCTAGTGACAAAAATGAGTCATCAGATATAATCTAACTTGCTTTTCGCTGAAATTACATGCGGAAGTCTATTTAGCCAGTAACTGCACAAACAGAAAAGGTATCCCTAACCCTCAATTTCCCAATAGGCTTTAGTCTTGGCATGCATGGTCTCTGTCAAGAACTGTGGTATGTGAAGAACTGCATTTATCAATCTAAAAAAAAATTCAGAACATTTTGCAGGAAACATAACATTAGTACACATGGTAATGTTGCCACACCAATAAACTGAGGCACTGTTCAATACCAATTATATGACAGTACTTCAGATCAAGAAAACGAACTTGGTGATGTGTGAACTAGAACTTACCTTCATATCATCCTCTGTAGCAAGATGTGGGAGGTTCCCAATGAACAACTGCTGGTTATCTGGGTACTGTTGCATTATGTTGGGTCCCATGCGCCGTCGGTCACCCTCTACACCAATACTTCCTGTTGAGAACAAAATCCATTCTTTCACAAGGCAAAATTCGCCTTACTCTCTCTTTGCATTATCAATTTTTAATTAGAAAATAGGAGATACTTAAATATAATTTCTCTCCCACTCATGGAACTGAGCCCTTCTTCAGAAGCTGCCAATTGTGCAGCCACTCAAGAACTTCCCAGCATTTTATGGAACCTGAAGGTTCATTACTGTATTCACAAGAGCCTGTAACTGGTCCCTATCCTGAGACAGATCAATCCAATCCATACCAACCCATCTGATCTCTCTACGATCCACTTTAATATTATCCACCCATCTATGTCTTGGTCTCCTTAGTGGTCTCTTTCCTTCTGGCTTTCCCACCAATATCCTCTACGCATTCCTCTTCTCCTCCATTCGTGCTACATGTCCGGCCAATCTCACCCTTCTCATTCTATCTATACAGGGAGAAGCGTACAAGTTATGAAGCTCCTCATTATGCAATTTCTTTTCCAACCTCCTGTAATTTCATCTCTCTTCGGTCCAAATATTCTCAACACCCTCAGTCTATTGTCCTCCCTTAATGTCAAGAGACGAAGTTTCACACCCATATAGAACCACAGGCAAAATTATGGTTTTGTATATTCTAATTTTTATGTTTTTGGACAGCAAATGAAAAGACAAAAAGTTCTGGACTGAATGGTAGCAAGCATTAACCCAAGTTCAATCTTCTTTCAATTTCCTCCTGAATCAGGTTCTGATTGGTTACTGTCATTCCCAAATATCTGAACTGTGCCACATTTTCAAAATATCTATTACCTATCTTTATGTCATTATCTTGCCCTGTATTTTGGTGACAAGACGGCAAGATATACTTAGTTTTCTCTGTGTTTACTTCTAAAGCAACCTCCTTACTTGCGTCAATTAAAGTTTTTTTTTGTTTTTCTTTATGGTATCTATATTATCACCCAGCACATTCACATCATTGGCATAGTCAAACAGCTGATGTGTCCCATTTAATTTCAGTCCCACCTGGTTTTCCTGGACCTTCCTAATGGCATATTCTAAATCGAAGTTGAAAAGGGGTGGCGATAAAGCATCTCCTTGTTTTAGACCATTCTGGATAGGAAATTTATCAGACAAATGTTTACCTACATGGACTTTACTGTATGTTTCATTTTAACACATTTTAATCAACCTAACTAGTTTCATGGGTATCCCAAACTCTATCAGAATATTGTACAACACTTCCCTCCTAACTGAATTGTAGGCTTTCTTGAAGTCTAATAAGAGTACCGATTTGAAAAATGCTTTTATTTCTCAACATAATCTCCCTGTACACTGAGGCACTTGTCCCATCCTTTCACAAGTCCCTGAAAACCAGCAGCATAAAATTCTTTGGACTGCTGTCGGAACCAGGCGTGTTCACACGGCATGGTCTACCTCATAATGCATGACAGGTTGCATGCTTCCACTGAACGGCCTTTTGAAGTTTCCTGAGGATGTTACAACAGAAGTTGGCATTTACGGTTTGTCCTTGAGGCTGGAATGGGGTGAACAGTATGCCTTCATGATCCCAGAAGACTGTGAGCATCACTTTCCTGGAGGATGGTGTCACCTTAAACTTCTTTTGGGCAGGTGATGCAGGATGTTTCCACTGCACTGACGCACGCTTTGTCTTGGGCTGGTAATGGCGAACCAAAGACTCATCACCTGCGACAATTCGGGCTAGCATATCCTGTCCTTCATCGTGGTAGAGATTCAGATGCTGTAATGCCAGTCCCATTCTTTGCATTTTGTGTTGTGGGGTCAACATGCGCGGCACCCATCATGCACAGACTTTGTCAAACCTAACCTGTCATGTAGTATGAGGTAGGCCATGCTGTGTGAACACACATGGTTCCGACAGCAGTCCAAAGAATTTTATGCTGCTGGTTTTCAGGGGCTTGTGAAACGATGGGACAAGTGCTTCAATGTACAGGGAGATTATGTTGAGAAATAAAAGCATTTTTAAAATCGGTACTCTTATTTAGGTTCTATATCCATTTGTAACTTACTTATTAACTTACCCTTGTATTTCTATCTGCCTAACATCACTGACCCTATGTACATTTAATATATGAGAGAAGTAGTTCTTCCACCTATTCAAAATGTTGTGGGAATATGCAAGCAGATCACCATTCTCATCCTTCACTAAGTTACTTCTGGGTTGGTAACCCTTCTTGAAGTCATTTATTCCTTTATACAAGTCTCTACTGTTCTTGTTCTTACTGTTCACTGCAAGCTCATAAGTTCTGTCTTTCGAATATTCCCTCTTTTTATTCCTGAAATGCCAGCTGATATGACATCTTATATTGTGCAGATTATCCATGTTTATTTTGCTCGGATCCTGTAACCACTGCAATTTGTCTTGTTTCTTTTGGTCTAATAATTTTGAGCATCCTACATCGAACAATGGCTTATGGTTCTTCAGTTTATAATAACCTAGGCTCTCTTTGGCAGAAATTTTGTCACCCTAAAAGTTTCCCAAGCTCTATTAACATCCACCTCCATGTCTAAGTTTTCCAAAGCAGCGAACCTATTTGAGATTTCAACACAATACTGCTCTTTACCTTCTACCTTGTTTAATTTCTTGAGACTGAACCTCTCCATATAAACTCCACATTTAGGGAATTTATCAAATACATGTTCTAGTTCTTCATAGAACCTGTCCTTCATATCATCAATTTTATCTTCTGTTGGGGCACGAACATTCAGAACGATGATATCACACCAGCGACCTCTTAGTATTATGTTCGACATCCTATCACTAACAAACTCTACCCTCTTAACTCCTGATATGATTCTCACTCCTCGTTCCCAAAGAAAATATATATATATAAAAATTCCCCCTCGTTGGTGTCTCCACCTTATCGTGGTGAGGGGGTTTGAGTATGCCAAGGACCCTGAGAGCTATACCAGCGGTAGCGTAGCTACTGGCAGGGCCTCCCTTGCTGGACAGGTCAAAGGGTAGGCATCAGACGAAGAGAGACACCAAAAACTGATGCCGGAAGCAGCGTCATCAGTAGCGACTTGAAGCACAGAGCAAATGATGCTCGAGATGGTTCAAGTTCGTATAGCAGCAGGCGTGACCAGAGTGGTTTGAACGGCTGCTGTACTGCGATGTGGAAAGCAAATGGAAAAACTACCACATTATCACTTTTCCTGGATAGTCTCTTTCCAAAAACAGAGATACCATATATGCGAGATGTTTCCTCTGGAGGCAAAACAATCCGGAGGTAAACTACTCCCCCAATCGGATCTCCGGGGGGGAGTGTTTCTAGAGGAAATGTCATGCAGGCGTTACAACAAGAAAAAGTGCGAAGATCAGAAGAAACAGCATGGATACAAGATTGGAACATGGAATGTCAGGACCTTGAATCAAGCAGGAAAATTGGAGAATTTGAAAACGGAAATGCAGAAGAATGAAGTGTCTGTGCTAGGTGTCAGCGAAGTGCGGTGGAAAGGACAAGGTGAAATAAGAAGCGGTGATTATACAGTGTATTATTCCGGAGGTGAACGGGCTGAAAGAGGTGTGGCAATAGTGGTGCATAAAAGTGTAGTGAGGAGTGTTGTTAAGAAGATTGCTTGTAATGACAGAATTATTGCTCTGAAGTTAAAGGCGGAACCGGTAGATATACTGATTATACAAGTGTACATGCCAACATCAGAGTATGAAGATGATGAAGTGGAAAAAGTGTATGACACAATTGAAGAAATTCTTCAGGAAGATGGAAGAGGAGACACAAACAGCATCATATTGGGAGACTGGAACAGCATTGTTGGAGATGAACCATATCAGAATATTGTTGGATCACATGGACTAGGAAGACGGAATCACAGAGGTCAAATGCTTATTGACTTTTGTGAACGAAATGGATTGATTGTTACCAACACTTGGTTCAAGAAGCCAAAGAGAAGAATTTACACATGGAAGGCACCTGGGGATTGGAAGAGGCATCAGCTGGACTACATCCTTGTGAAACATCGATTCAGAAACAGTGTGAAGGATGTGAAGACGCTTCCTGGGGCAGACATTGACTCTGACCACAACTTGCTGGTTGCCAAGTTCCGAACCAGGTTGAAGAAAATTATAGGATTTCGAAAGCGCAGACCCAGATGGGATTTGGAGAAGTTATATGCTCAAAGACAAAGCGTGCAAGAGACTCTAGAAGAGAAACTCGGTGCAATTGAAGGTGAAAGCGGAAATGCTGAAGCGCAGTGGAACGATATAAAAGAATGCATGTTAGATACTATCAGTGATTTGGTAGGTAAAGTTGAGAAGATAGCAAGAAAACCATGGGTTACACAGGAGATGATGAGTAAAATGGAGGAGCGAAGGAAATGGAAGAATGTCAACAATGAAGAAGGCAGGAGGAAATACAGGAGACTGAGGAATGAATTGAAAAGAGCCACGGACAGGGCCAAAAAGGAATATCTTGAGAAGATATGTAATGAGATTATGGAATTTCAAAGAACAGGCCGTTATGATTTGATGTACATGAAGACAAAAGAACTAGGATGGAAAGAGAATCATGGGATTCAAAATGTTGGCATCGAAGACTCCCAGGGGAATAGAATAGTAGATCAGAGGCAAGTGCTGAAAATTTGGGAAAATTATATTTCAGAACTATATGATCGACCTAATCGGCCAGAAACCTTAGAAGTTGAACCGGAAGAAGAAGTAGATACAGACGAGAAAGGACCATATATTTTACAAAGTGAGGTGGAAAAAGCTATCAAGGAAATGAGGAAGGGAAAGGCTACAGGAGATGATGATGTACCTGGAGATGTGCTCAAGTTACTGGGAGAAGGTGGTTTGAAAACACTGACAAAACTAATGAACACCATATATGAAAGTGGAGAGTGGCCCAAGGACTTTACAGAAGTTACAATGATTGCCTTAAAGAAAAAGACAAAAGCTACAAAATGCAGCGACCATCGCACAATAAGTCTTATTGCACATACAGCAAAGATAATAGCAAAGATACTTAAAAGAAGAATTGAAAGGAAAATAGAGGATGTACTTGGAGAAGATCAGTTTGGATTTAGAAGAGGAAAAGGAACCAGGGATGCAATTGGGATGATGAGAATTATAGCGGAACGAACTTTGGAGATAGATGAAGAACTGTGTGTTTGCTTCATAGACTGGCAGAAGGCATTTGACCGGGTAAACTGGACCAAATTAATGCAGATCCTGAAAGAAACAGGTATCGATTGGCATGAAAGAAGATTGATTAGCAAATTGTACATGGATCAGAAAGTTAGAGTACGACTGGACAGGGGGGAGACAGGAAGTGTGCAGATTGGAAGAGGAGTTCGACAAGGATGCTGTTTATCACCAATTCTGTTCAACTTGTACAGCGAATGCCTTACCAAGGAAGCTCTGGATGGGCTCGGTGACTTCAAAGTAGGAGGGCAAATTATTCAAACTGTGAAATATGCAGATGACCTTGTGTTAATGGCTAAGGAAGAAACTGTGCTACAGGGCATGATTGATAGACTAATTGAAATTGGAAGGTGCTATGGCATGGAAATGAATGTGGAGAAAACAAAAGTAATGAAAATTTCGAGACAACCAACCCCAGTCACAATAAAGATAGACCAAAAACAAGTGGAGAATGTGAAATGTTTTAAATATTTGGGTAGCTTGTTAACAGATGATGGAAGGTGTACTTGTGAAATTAAATCCAGGATTGCCATGGCAAAAGCTGCATTTAGCAAGAAGAAGAATCTTTTTACCAGCAAATTTGACTTAAATTTGAGGAAGAAACTAGTGAAATGCTACATTTGGAGCATAGCTCTGTATGGGGCTGAAACATGGACACTTAGGGCAGTAGATCAGAAACATCTGGAAAGTTTCGAAATGTGGTGTTGGAGAAGAATGGAGAAGATCAGGTGAGATTACAATGTGAGAAATGAAGAAGTGTTAATTAGAGTCAGTGAGCAGAGGAATATCCTACATGAAATAAGAAAACGGAAGGCTAATTGGATTGGTCATGTTTTACGCAGAAACTGCCTTCTAAAAGAAGCTATCGAAGGAAAGATAGATGGGCGGATAGAAGTGACAAGAAGACGAGGAAGAAGACGTAAGAAGATGCTGGATGACCTTGGGGACAGAAGAGGATACTGTCATTTGAAGGATAAAGCTCTAGATCGCATTAAGTGGAGGAATTGTTTTGAAAGAGACTGTGGACCTGTCGTCTTGACAGATTACTGATGATGATGATGATGATATAAAAATTGCCTGTGGGTTCGGTGCCACCTCTGTCCCATTTGACCTCCTTTACTCCTAATAAATCTAAAATATATTTTGAGATTTCTTTCGCCACTCACGAGCAAACCTGCCCTATACATACTTCTAACATTTCAAGTACCAAATCTCATATCCATTTTCTTTCACTTAGGTCGTTTATCCAAGGAATCTATCCAGGTCCAAGGCTTCTTGTGAGCTTTTGTAACAAGCTATTTTTTAAGGTGAGGAGGAGTTGTTAGCCCCACGCCCAACTCCCAAGCTCGAAGACCACCCCTTATTGGCTGTCCGTGACTGCTTATTTGGTATATTTACAGCTACCCTCCATATCTGGAGGTAATGTCCTACATCCACAACCTGATGATGTGTCATGCTATGGAGACAAGGGACCTACCTAACATGGACTTAATGATAAATTAGTTATGTTTACAGGCAAGATTAGTCAGTTATGACAGTTCAAATCCTGCAGCTGAAGACAATGAACTCACCAGTATCTTCATTGAAATTGCCCCTTCCAGATCCACCACGGTCAATCCTGCCCATTCCTCGGATGCCAGATCCTCTAGTTCCGCCCCTGGAACCTCTCTGTCCAGACAGCAAAGATCCCGACCCTCCACTGGGCATTCCAGATACTTGCATTGAGTCACGTGCATCGCTGTTGGTACGAGCTGCCAGTGGAGGCTGGAAGATGTAATATGGTTTTTCGTTATCAAGAAGCATGTAAACTGACAAAAAACAAAGACAATGCACCTTCTGTACTACGCTGTGGAGATGCATAGCAGTGTCAAGGTAAAGCTTCTTATTTTGTTTTACCCATGGGAAAGGACCCTTTGGTTTGCTATATACAGAGTGTCCCATGAGGAATGGCCCAAACTTCGGGAGGGTGTTCCTTATGTTAAAGTATGCCAATATAACCCAAAACACTTATGTCCAAAGTTGAACGGTTACGGAGATAATGGCCCAAGAAAAGTGTGGTCTTCTGGCAGGTCCACGCACTGTACCTGTTAGCTGAGAGGCCTTATCTATGTTTGTCCTTGAGTGCGATGATTCACCCTAGCCGTGCTTATGTAGTTGGCTTATACCAGAACGCGCAGTCAGCACTTACAATTCATGTGTCATGTATGGTGCTTGGAAACCCTAAGGACAATTATGACATGGTGAGCAAGTATTTTGTACTTCAATTTTATGGCTTCATGTCACTTACAAGTTAGTTTGATGTTACGTACATTATTAACATTACAGAATCCACATATTCCTGCCAGTTTTAATATGTATTTTGTAATCAACAAGTGTGCAACGCCCGTCAAAGTTTGACACTTCTCTGGCCATTATCTCCATAACCGTCCAACTTTGGACATAGGTGTTTTGGGTTATATTGGCATACTTTAACATAAGGAACACCCTCCCGAAGTTTGGGCCATTCCTCCTGGGACACCTGTATAAGGGACAGGCCACTCTTGGAGCTTTCTGGACATAATGTCTAAGAGAGAAAAATGTTCCCACACTGGTAACTGAAACCTTGTTCTCCAGACTACAATGGTTCAATGAAGCAATGACAAGTTATGACGACGAAGTCTTATATCTGCACTGGCTGAGATTCACTCGCTACATCAACAGCATAACACATTAATCTGTAAGAGATCTGCAGTGAAAAACATACGTCTCATCTTCTAGAAAATGCATGCAATATGACAGTTTACTGTGGCCAGGCAGTCCATGTTCAGGGTTCACATTTATCTTCTTAGGTGGATGTAATCTCGTCTTAACCAGCAATAATCCACATCTGATAGAATAATACTTTGGTTTCCCTGTCAATCTTCATTCCACCAATTGCTCCACAATCACCCTCACCTATCATCTGGGGCTGGTACAATAGGCCAGACATGGCCGCAGTACAAGGGACTTAGTCCCACCCCACTAGCAACAATAAAAAAAATACCTGCAGTTATAGGAGCTCAATAAGTCCAATTATCAATCCAAATCCAGTGCATAGTCACTAACATACAACAGTATAAAAGCAAGTGAAAGGCTATATGAAAAACTGTAGTTAGCTGAAATTCATGGAGTCCCATTTTATTCATTTCTCATCAGACAGGAAATGTTCTACCACCCAAAGAGAATGCAAGCAGAATTAAATTCAGAGATTATGGTCTTCTAAGATGTGACACTTTGCAGTGTTGTAGGAGGATACCAACATTCCAGTGGAACATGCTGCCTCCATCTTCAGGGTTGAAGTAAGTACGAAGTTACAAGGAAGGTGTTCACTCAGATCCCCTACTCATGAATTGGCATCAGCGCTTTTCTTGAATCCTGCAACGTGACCCGACTCCATTCCCACCCTACTTACACCAACCCTGAAGACAGAAGCAGCTTGTTCTTCTGAAATGTTGATATCAATCTAAAACACATGGCACCATGACCCCTGAGATGACAGCCCATACAGAAACTTGCTATTAAATGGGTTTGAGATGTACCTAACAAACACTGAAAAAAGTTCATGCAAGAACATGTTGATGATCAAACTTACTGGCGATGTTGTTGGCTTTGCAGGAACATTTAGGCTCGTTGACATTGTGGAGCCAAGAGAGCCTATCCCCCCCACTCCAGTTCCACCAGACTTCACTAATGTTGCGTATGTCTTGGGCTCATTCGAAACTAAAATGCATACACAAACTTGTTAAATTGTTCTGGTACGCTAAAGTCTATAACATCTGTGATGGGAAATAGCATCTCTAAGTCAATGTATAAAGATATTAAAAAGAAAAAAAGTAAACTATCCCTGTAACAGACTGTGAAGGCCCATAGGGTTGTGAGATGTTGAAGGTCCCACATTATCTAGACAATCGGCTCAAAGATGGTGATAAGGCTGTCAGCCTTACATGCTGGCTGTGCTTTACTCACCAGGAAAAAGTTACCCATAAATAAAAAATATGAAAATGTCTATTATCATTTATGATCAACAGATTATGTAAAGAGGCACATCAACACATCTTAGAAAGGATGGGTGGTATACACTGATTTGATAAGGCTCAGAATAGGGACCATTGGAGGGCTCTTGTGAACACTGTAATGAACCTCTGGGTTCCATAAAAAGTTTGGAAATTCTTGAGTAGTTGCATAATTGGCGATTTCCCAAAAACAGGTCAGCTCCATATAGTCAGTTGGCTACATCAACACGAAAGCTTTAATAGCAGCAAACAATAACGATGACAATTTTTAAAAATAATGAAGATATCTGAACAGTAAGAGGTAAGGTATGTCAGTGATTATGTCCCATGTAATTAACTATTCTTTTAATTGCCTGAACAGAAAACATGATAAACCTCACTCAAGATTTGTAATGTGTAATTTACGAATTAAATTCAGATGTGTCGGTAACAAGCAATGTTAGTTTGCATGGTTTAGTACATAACATTTTGTCTCCAATATTGTAAACAGTGTACTGCCTTCCTATTTTGCTTTTCACCAAGCTGTCAGTATCACACAGATGTATTATTCCAAGCAAAGTTGTTTGATAGGGACAAAACCTTAAACATGAGCCTGTGTAGCTGTACTCTACGTCAATGGGACCTCAGGGAAAGGAGAAACCTGAATGACAAGAGGGAAAGACACTGCAGGGTGCCTCTCTGTAAATTACAATTTAACTACCAAAGCAAAACAATGCATACTGAAACTAGTTACGGGACTGAAGAGGACATTCTGATGACAACCTGTGATGTATATTTCTGAGTGGTTAAAACCTGGAGGGGAAATACTACTCCCAGATTCTGGAATGTGAACTTTCTCCATGACAAGAACAGGCTGGAGAGACTGGGTTAATGGCATCTTTATGGGCTGCTAGCCATACTGTATTGTATTGGAGAGGGTGGGTTTCCCCATGCACTTAGACCAACTGTTGGTCCATTGTGCATCCCCTTATGATATTCTACCAGTCTCTATTCCCTACCGGTACTGGTGCATACCATCAGTCCCGACTCAGCCAGCGAGTTCGGCCTCTACTGGCTCTGCGGTATCTCGATGCTTCCCCCATCTACCAGAGGTGTTAGAGACTACTGTTGGGCGGGAAATGTCCTAAATTTGGCTCAGTGGTCCCCTTGGGACATGAGGTTCTTTTATGTGCCGTAAAGCTACGACATGGGACCCACGGCTTAAATTCCCTCCCTGAGGACTTGTTCCCTGAATTTTTCCGCCCTTAAAAATTTCATGACCTCTGGCGGGTTTGAACCAGCGTACCTTGAGTCACGAGGTGAGAACGTTACCCCTAGACTACGGAGGCCACTTGCTGCTAGCCATAAATAACTATAAATGCAAGAGTGCAAGTTCAGTTGGTGCAAAAAGTTATGGGGAAACTTTTGGGTCTAGTTAGTTAATCACTCATTAACAGCACCTTCACAGTAAAAGAATAGAAGCCCTTGTTTTGTATAATGGTTTTCCACATACGTAATATCAATAAAATGATTGTTCTAACAGTTTCTGTTGTCATATTGAACTCCTTGTTACAAGTCATACTCGCTCCAGTGTGGTTTCGCCATACATGATGATTGCACGCCACAAAACTTAAACTCATTTTTTGGCCCCCCTTTTACCCCCAAATCCAATTTCTTTCCTTGTCAGAATACATAGTTAATTATCGAGTTACAGCTCTGTGACCTGGAGAGATATGTCAGAGGTAGTTGAACTACCGGTTGGGTCACCCATGCCAGAAAGGTCAAAGGGTAGAGGCCAGACTAAGAGAGATACCCTGGTACCCCAGGTTGGGGGTTGGGCACGAGGCTAACAACCAGCCTAGGATAAGTGGAACACATGGGAAATGGACTAAGCAAAGGACAAGGAACAATGATACTGCGATGGCAAGACGATGTTAAGAACAACCTGAAGAAGATGAAGGTGAAAGAATGGACATGGAAGTTGATGAACAGAGAGAGCAGTGGAGACTGGCTGTAGAGGCCAAGGCTCACACAGGGTTGTAACACCAAGTGGCACATTGGTACCTACACACTGTTTCACCTTATCAATACCAAGAGTACTCACCAATCATGGCAGAGATATCAGCAAATGACTATAGGCATAGTTATTATTATCAGTCGTGCGTCAATTATTGGGGTTTGCACATTGTGGTCCAGCTGCCTGAATGCTACATTCTTTCAACGCTTAATACTGTTAGTGCCAAGTCAGAATAAGGTCACCAGACATGTTAAAACTGGAGATTTAAAATCCCATATTCTGTGACAATAAACTGTTATCCTCAATTTAAAATATGGCTGCCATCTCTCTAGTGCTGAGAAATTCAAAACTCCTACTCCCAGACAACAAAGGTAAAATTTTACTTCTCTTGGACCTTGGAGATATAGGATGGGATGGATTGGATTGATCTGGCTCAGGATAGGGAACAGTGGAGGGCTCTTCTGAACACGGTAATGAACCTTCAGGTTCCATAAAATGCTGGGAAATTCTTGAGTAGCTGCAGAATTGGCGGCTCCTCAAGAAGGGCTCAGCTCCATGAGCAAGTAAGTATCTAGAAATAGCCTCCTCCAGGATGCACTGTCACACTTGCAGAAAGCTATCTCACCTGATTCAATCTGATGATGGGTATCCTCCATAATTTCTTGTTGGGCTTTCTCCTCTTCCTCGCCTACAACCTCGTGATCATCAGCCCCTTCTTGTTCCTCTTCATTATCATCCTCAAGAACACTGTCTTGCTCCACTTCTTCTTCATCAGGCTTGATTATGTTGGGATGTCCAGGCGGTGGAACAATACCCGGCGCACCTGCTTGCTGCAATGGTATCTGTGCCTGTGGAACAGGCTGCAGGTTCTGTGCAGGAGTCTGTGTTGGAATCATTGCTGCCTGTTGTGCCATGCTGGGTGCAGCAGTCACAGGAGATGACATTACAGCCACAGGAATTGAAGCTGAAATTACTTCTTCAGGAAGTGCTGTACCATTAACAACCGCAGTTGCTACAAGTGGGGCAGGTACCACTGAAGGTGGTGGTACTACTTGCTGGTGGGAGGTTAAGACAGCAGCATTTAACTGGGGTGGCTGCTGTTGAGGATGGGGTTGAGGCTGAGGCGGCTGCTGAGGAGTTACCACACCACTCGCTACTGCAGCAGTGTTGTTTATGGTAGTGTTGGTACTGTTGTAGTACGCCATTGTCTGTTGTGGGACCAGCTGTTGGCTCTGAAACAAGTTGAATGTAATTACAGAAGTGCTGGTAGAGAGCATCTAGCGATGATAACATAACTACAAGCTCAACTATTGGAACATCTTTGAAAAAATATGTAGCATGATTATTTTACTCATATATAAGTATGCATGATAAAGGTGCAGAGACACTGAATGACAGAGAGAGAGAGAAAAAAAAGGGAATAAGTGATGATTGTAAGACCCTTGGATGGATGTAGTTTACACTCAACGACAACAGTTAGCATAAGACAGTACGGAATTACAGACCTATAAGGTGAAAAGTATGCAAGGACTTACTTGTACTTCTCGTCTCTATGTTTTTGTGGCTCGAATTTAATATGACTTTGGCTTTGGGAATACACCACTTAGGATGCTGATGTTTGCTAATGGTTTGGCAAACGCTGCGGGTACTACCTTCAGGGTGAATACCTTGGGTATGTGTATGTGTCTTACACTCTTCTCTCTCGCAGTGGGCATGAGTCATAGCTAGGAAGTGACTGGAGTGTCAAATAAGTGGATGAAAATGAACAATGATGTGGGAAGCATATGGAAGGAAGTGGTCACAGCTTGATTTTAAGCCCAGCACTTGCCTCAATGGACTGAATAACTACAAGATTCAAACTGAGCACCTCCTGAATATAAATCAGATGCACTAGTAAACTTCATCAGTAAAAAGTGAAGAAGCTGGAAAGAGGACATGCAGGTCCATACAGATATTACAATACTCAGTTCATGACCACAACAAGAACATTACTGCTTGATGATGCTGCCTAAACTATGCACCATGCAACACCAAGGACCTAAGCACACAAGTACGGAAGGTGCAATTGTGATGCTGACATGTGTGGACTCATGGGGTTACATTACAAAAAAAAGTGTAGTAGGAAAAATTATGTTTTTGTTTAGTCTTGGAGGTATGAAGTCTAAAGCCTGAAAAACATGATATTATGACTCAAAGCCATTCCTCCAAGAATGCAAGTTATAATCATATGATCTGTACAGAAATTATTTAGCTTTTGTTCAGCAAAGAAATCTATAGCAATGCTAGATTCATATGTAAAAACCATATAGAGTACTATATGTGATAAAATAGGTAACAGCATATAACTATTACACGACTACTTTCGTTGCTCTGTAATATGCACATACACTATATGCTCCCCTCAAAACTTTGCATGTTCAGCAAATTCTGCACCTTATATTAGTGAGGTTCATTATGGTCCTTCCCATACAGATCAGGTATGAGTATCAAGTAAGAAAGCTATATGCAGATTATAAGGAACAGAAATTATTTTTTCACAGAAATAAACAAGGTATAAAATCAATACTCAAAACATCGAGAAAGACCTCAAAGCAGAAAAACAAGAAAGAAAAAAAGCTGATGAATTTAAGGATATAAAAATTTTGTATCACCGGCAATAATTTCCATTTGGGGTAACAAGCCTGAAATGTCATATACAGAGCCATAGGAGACCAAGGACTAGAAGAAGAAACCAGGCAAAATAATCAAAAGACAAGCTACAAAAGTGGATACAAATACTGAAGACGCATTTGTTGGAGGACAGAGAATGGAGAACACTTTTTCATAAGGTACAAAATGCCAATGAATGAATGATGATTATGAAAACTGATGACAAGTTTATCATGTACTGTATGAACATGCTGATTCCAGCTCCATCTGAAGACTGAGACAGCATGTCACTTCAAAACGTCAGTGAACTTATAGCAGACTACAAGGCATCACATCCCAGTCACTGTGATGAGAATCTTAATTCTCACATGAGAATCATGGCTCAGCTGAAATTTCACTTGCTACAACAGGTGCATACAAAGAGCATACACTGGTTCAATCCTAATGGATGACAATTTATTATAATGCATTTTCTTTGGGCATTGTCTGTTCTCTGGATTAAGAATATTCATGGTGTTTCACAGACTGTCTCCACGTTCAGGCACAAAGAAAGATCACCTACTCTCTAGACCATTACAGAGCGTTACAGAAGTGACCCTTCCAATACCTTGTCCAACCCAAAGGTTCATTACAGTGTTCACAAGGTCCCTCCACCGGTCCCTATCCTCAGCCAGATTAACCAAGTCCATGCCATTCAATCCTATTTCTCTTAAGATCCATCTTAATATTATCCTCCAACCTATGTCCAGGTTTTCCTTGTGGTCTCATTCCTTCTGGCTTTCCCACCGAAACCCTATATGCCTTCCTCTTCTCCTAAACACATACCACATGCCCTGCCTATCTCATTCTCCTTGAATTGATCATTCTAATTATTTTTGGTGAACAGTACAAGTTATGAAAATGAAATCTAAAAGTCTGCGGCAATGGATTATTAACCTTTATCGGACGGGCCATTTAATTTCCGGTAGGGGCAGCTGGATGGAGTTTATTTAAATGCCCACCCTTCTAGAGCAATGAAATTGTAAGCATGTTTCTAAAAATGGTGTGATTTCTACATTTTTTATGATAAACGAACAAAATGAACGCTCCTTTAATGTAGAAAGAATATAGAATCAGATATTCTAATTTACAGATTTTAATATCTGTAAAAAATTTTTACACTGATTCCCCCCCCCAAAAAAATTCCTGAAATTCATACATTTTCTGCACCATGCGTTCTAGCAGTGTAATACATTTTCTGCACCATGCGTTCTAGCAGTGTAGTCCTTGTGGCGACTTCACATTCAATGGTGTCTCTTGTTGGAGCTTATTTATCGTATGGGACATATCGGTATGCACGACTGCAGGTGTCTGAAATCGCTCTCTGTGTAATGTGTTAGATAGACACATGAGTTAATTCTCGGAATATGGTGTTGCCAGATCGGTCATTCTTTCATTCACTGCAGTCAAACGATTGTGTTTGTAATGATTTTGAAACATCGCAATATAAGGTTAGCCACCCATGACATCATGAAGCAGATATTGGATTCAGCCGAGACGTGAATGAGATTTTTGTATGTGTGGGCGCGATTTATGGCTTCTGGTCGTGGTCTAAGCACTGTGCTGGCAGTAAACCATTCACCGCTAGAGATCCGTATTATTCACCATGGCCACACGACGACGTCGTATGGAAGATGCTGAAATTGAGAAACAGCTGTTCAATGACACAGAGTCGGACTGCTATTCAACCGATTCTGAGAGTGGCGAGGAAAGTTGGAGTTCTGATTCCGCGGACGAAGGGTCATCACCTTCGTCGGCAACTTGGGGACCGCCAGACCAGTGTGGCTGGAGAGGTGTGAATAATTATTCCGGTGTAGCTGCGGGGATAAATATCACTGCAGCTCCACACATGAAAAAGGATTCCACCCCTCTCTGTGTTTTCATGCTGTACTTTGCGGGGATTATCCATCTGCTGGTGGAAGAGACGAATAGGTACTACCACCAGTACCTAGACAGACTTGAAGACGGACCATCTCCGCGGCCTGACATAACTGAATCCGAGATGTTTCTGTTTCTAGGAATAATCATTCAAATGGGACATGACATTAGAGAGACACTAAAGGACTGCTGGTCGACTGCTGAACAATTTGCCATGCCTTTCTACTCTAACACAATGAAACGCGACCGTTTTCTTCACATTCTTCGTTTTCTACATTTTGCAGACAACAGTATAGAAATGACAGGAATGCCGACAGTTATGACCGACTATGGAAAATTCGGACCATCTTCGACATTCCCAATGACGCATATCAAAAATATTATAACCCTTCTGAACATTTGGCCATAGACGAAATAATAGTTCAATTCAAGGGAAGGGTGGTTTTTAGACAGTACATTCCTAAGAAGCACAAACGTTTCGGAATCAAAATCTTCAAAATTTGTGATGCCGCTGGGTATACCTATGACATGAAGGTTTACTTAGGATAAGACAGGAAACGTGCCAGCCAAGACGTGACAGCGACACATGCTACAGTTAGGGACCTATGCAGGCGTATTGAGGGCGTAGGTCACAAACTGTACATGGACAATTTCTTTTCGTCACCAGACTTGTTCGATGACCTGCTGACAAAGGACATAACGTGCTGTGGGACAGTCAGACCTAATCGGAAGGGCTTGCCTGACGATTTTCGACGAAGACAATTTCGACTGAAGAAAGGTGACATTCGTGTTAGGGTGAGACGGAACTTGACAGCACTAGTTTGGAAGGACAAACGTGACGTACACATACTGACAAACATGCACTGTCCTCCAGCAGAAGGCAGTTTCTGTGATGAGCACGGAAATGCCATCAAACCATCAGTTGTTGTGGATTATAACACGCACATGGGTTATGTCGACAAAGCGGACAGAATGACAAACAGTTACAGCATCAGTCGTCGGACCTGGAAATGGACAAATAAACTATTTTTCCATCTCCTGGACCTGACAATTCTGAACAGCTTCATCGTGTTGTCATCCTGTGGCACGAAATTGTCACATTGAGACTTTCGTCTCGCCCTTGTGTGCAACATGGTGGAAGAAGCTGGAAGGGGTTCACCTCGCCCTCAAAAGTCCATTGGTCGACCTCCTGCCGTGTCATCGTTAGTAAAACGACTAGAGGAAGCCCGTCGACATCACTGGCCTGCTTCCTCTAAATCGCAACTGAGGTGTCGTGTGTGTTCTTCGCGTGGGAAGCGGTCTAGCGTTCGTACGAAGTGCGTGAGGTGCGACGTCGGACTCTGCATTTCGGAATGTTTTTGGCAGTACCATANATGAGTTCGTTCGGCCATATGACGTCGGTAGATTACATTAGATCATGCAGGAGGGAAGGCTGTCACCTTATAAAGGTTGTGACCAAAAATCATGTAAATAGAACAATTTATATTTTAAATTTAATTTTAAAAAAATCTTTACACGTGTGGAATGCGCGATATCTTATGATGTCGTTCGGCAATTTGGCCTTACTTTTAACATCATGTGACGTCGCTAGATTACATTAGATCATGCTGGAAGGAAGACTGTCTCCTTATAAAGGTGGTGACCAAAAATCATGTAACTAGAACAACAATTAAAATTTTAATTTAATTTAAAAAGAAAAACCTTACACGCGTGAAATCCGCGACATCATATGATGACGTTTGGCCAGCTGCCCTAACTTTTAACGACATCATATGATGACGTTTGTCCAATAAAGGTTAATACAATTATTTGGTTTCTGGACATTATCAATCGTCCTGCTTTTATTTAAAACACACAGACGTTTCGGAGACTGGATTGTGTCTGTGGAACCTACTCAGTTGGGCCCAACAGATACAACTAGTCCCTGCCTCTACTGCTCTACTGATTGGGCCCAACTGACTAGGAAGCACTTGAAGACAGAATCCAGTCTCCAAAACACTGTGTATTAAATAAATACAGAATGATGGATAATGTCTAGAAACACAATAAATGTACAAGTTATGATGCTCCTCATTTTGCAATTTTCTTCAACCTCCTATTATTACTACCTCTTTGTATCAAATATTCTCAACACCCTGTTTTCAAATACCTTCGTTCTATGTTCTCCCCACTAACCACATAACGGGTGGGGGAAGAAGGCTAAAAGTACCCATGACATTAGGCCTCTGTCACAAACCTTCAAACCATAACTGCAGCATACCCTCATCAAATCAAATGAATGCTGATTCCATACTCACAGGAGGAATGGCATCTGTATTTGGGGAATGCTCTGGTTCTGCATCTTCTTCAGCTTCTGAGCGCCCCGAATCTTGTTCGACTTCTTCATCACTGAAAATCATGTCCTGAGGAATAGAAAACAACTTCCAATCACACTGCCCAGCAGTCAACAGTTGCAAAGGATCAAGGAAACTCATCTTATAGTGAGGTGTCCTGTAGTTTATTTCATATCAAACCTATTTACACACTACTGATACAATTTATTAGCACATGACAAGCACGTACGAAGTCACCACGACATGCATTGGCTCCTCTAGATCATCACGTAGTTCATTTTACTGTGTTTACTGGCATGACTTTCACACATCTACTTTTAGACAAGATATCTGAAAAGCAAATATAATACCATATTTTTACCTTTGGTAAAATTTCAAGTGACATAAATTTCCTGAAAATTTGATTAACAATATACAATTGTATCAAAGGGAATTTTCACCTCAATGACAATGAACGAACCACATGGCACAGTCTGCAGATATAATATGCTACCACATCTCACTCAAATGCAATTGCCTCAGTCCAACACATACAATTATATTCTGAAAATTTAATTCACATATTTTACACTCAGCTTTCAGACACAATTTTTTTGGTAAAAAAGTGTGAAACTTGCCCAAGTACAATATATACTCACTATTACAGTCCATACTGATTATGATGTGTCTGTATAACTTCTTAATTAAAAATATACCTGGCTTAACTTACTCAATTTTGGCTGCCATTTCCATGGGAATATAAACAGCTATCCCACCATTTTTCCTACAGTTCAAAAGCACCATGGAAGTCAAGTTCCTTAATGCTGCCAAGTCCTGCTTGCGATTCCCTTTGCATGTCAAACACTGTTTCAAAACGCTGTCCCTTCAGTTTCATTTTCAAATTGGGAAAGAAAGTGAAATCATAGGGGCTATGTCGAGTAGAGAGGATACAGAATGATAACCGTCTTGGTGTTAGTCACAAACTCTGTGGCTTTCAGGGATGCGTGGACGGGCACATTGTTGTGATGAAGGAACCAGCTGTAGTTCTACCGAAGTTCTCATCTTTTTCATTGCACATTTTCTCTCAAGCGTCTCAAAACATCACAGTAAAAGTTAAGAGTTTACTGTAGTGTTAGGAGGAACAAATTCAAGGCGAACAATCCCTTTCACTTTGAATAAAACAATGAGCATGCTCTTTGTTGAACTTAAGACCTGCCGTGCCCTTTTTGCTCTTGGTGATGGTGGGCTATTCCACTGCAACAATTGTTTCGTTGTTTCTGGATCATAACTGTAAATCCAACTTTCGTCACCAGTTATGATCCTAGAGATAAAAGTTGGATCCTCATTAGCTTTCTCTTATAGCTAAATACAAACGTCTATGCACAGCTGCTTTTGTTCATTTGTCAAGAGTTGGGGAACAAACTTCGTGGCAATGCGGCTCATATACAAATTTTCTGTTAAGATCTCCTGGCAAACTCTTATAACTGATTACAATGGTGACTGCGAGCTCATGCATTGTTCAGCGACGGTCTTCGTGCACGAGTTCTCAAACGTTTTCAACATTTTCTGCTGTTTTGTGGTGTCTGGTCGCCTTGAACTTTCATCATCTTCAACTGATACTCGACCAGCCTTGAAACGTGAATGCCATTCAAAAACCACTATCCAGCTTAAAGAATGTTCTCCAAAGTCTCACAAAGCGAATTTAATGAGCTTCATGCAAACACATTGTTTGATTTTGTCATCCATGGCAGATAAAACAAGTCCAAAAAGCACCAGTGTAAAAACAATGCATGTTCACACCATGGTGTCATATGGCAGACTGATGTGATAGGCTTGCGGAAGTGTGACCTTGGCCTACCCTATCATCTTATTTCACCGAGACAGTTACAACAATAACAGTCTGGGAACTTTCTGATACACCTCGTAAGCCTCACAATCAACCGAATCACAAAGAGCAAAATGCCATCAATAAATTAATGTGGACAAAAGCAAGAATATGCTGAAAACAAACACACCAGGAGGACTGAACCAAGATAAAATATAAATTCCACCGTGAAATGACTCTCAAGTGGAAATTTGATAGGCAATAACAAATGTTATTCCAATTACTAGATTAATTTATGAATGGACAGATCTTTTCCATTTATGACCACACATAAAATGCAACATATAACATCCACAACTTTACCTGGTAGCGAAAGATGTCATTGTGAACATAATACTTCCTTGGTGACTGAGCAGCAAGCACAAATGTTTGGGTAAACCGACGCATAGGTTGGCCGCTATTAGACAACTCTCCTGTAACCTAATATGAACAGGGCATTATCAAAACAAAATTAATAGTGATCATTTTCAATAAAATTAGATTTGTAAATAATACAAACACTACCTGCACAACAACACCATCACCCAACGTGGCCTGTGAATCAACCTGGCTTATCTTGGCATGGCAGTCTCGAAAATTGAGTTGTTGAATCTTCTGATGAATTTGCTTCTGCCCCACAACAGGCTTAGTCTCACGGTTTGGGGCATCCAGACCACCATGAACAAATGATGAATTATTGTTGTAAAATCTGAAACATGGCCAATGGAATATCCAACATTAACTAATTACTTATAAAAATCAGTATACCTCTGGTGTTAATTATGCAGACTGTATCATACATATGTGCTAACTTTAGCAGATAGAGGATGTCATGTGTTCAGCACAACAAATCCCCACGGCCATTAATTTCAATTTTCTACATTGGAGCTGCTACTTTTCCTTGAAATAGCTCCTCAATCATCTTCACGAGGATGAGTGGACCCCAATCCAGACCCACTACTTCTCAGAAAATCGGGGAGCAGCGGGAAACAGACCCAGACTTCTGGATCTGTAGCCCGGAAGTCTAACCACTAGATCACTGAGGCAAAAACTTCGCCAACAAGCAGCAGTCACTCAGCTGGTATAGGTCACTTGCAGACTAAAACCACGGAGCCTGTTTTTGGTTTGTATCATACAGATCATTGCAGTCACAAAGCACACAAATCCTACAACCACTTGGAATTAACATAACATTAAAACACTGTTAATAACACTATGACACATATACTCATTGCTAGGTAATGGACCAGTAAAAACACATCATTAACCACAGAAGACAGTGTCTTCTGTGGGGTCCATGCTGAGAGCTCATAAAAAGGCACAGTCAGAAGACACATCAGAATGGAACGGAATATATAACAGTAGTCGAGTCTAGTCTTCAGAATTGGCAAGAAAGGAATTACACTGTGACAAGAAGATTTCATGTGTGATTTGAAGTTACAGGGAGACTGCGATAAATCTGTTGCAGTGATATGATTAGTAAGGACTACGAACCTCAGTGCGTGTGCAACAGTGAACTGGAAAGTGGGTAGAATAGTGATAGCATTGTATTGATTGTAGTCCTAAACTGTGTGAATGTATAAGGAGCAATAAATTCAATCACCCAATCCAAAACTTGTCATAACAGTCACCACCATATGTGACAGTATCTTAAATAAGGATATTTCAAGAGATTTTTATCTGGACTAAACATAATAAATTCCAAAGAAGAGTACCATCATATAGGACTGACACCATGTAGTATGGTAGAATTCTACAAAATTTTGGCTTGATGCTGGACTTACTCTTTAACCCTACAGATGGAGGCAGTATGTTCCTCCACAACACTGCTAAACTTCCAAGAGGCTACATAGTATCACATTCCAGAGGACAGTACTCTTCACAGCCTGCCATGAGAACCTCAAATCCAAAATTAATCTAGAAGCTATGGGTTCTGAACCATCTGCATTATTTAAAAATTCTGCCCTATAAAACTAGTAATTATCAACAATATATACTTAGTAAATCAATTAATTTTTAACATAACCAGTGAGGGCTAGATTAAATACAAATACAAGGTGAACACAATATCAGAATTTAAAATTATGTTTATTTCACTTAAACCTGCAGCAATTAACAGCTGTTTTTATGTTTTCACAAACCGTAATTTCATGGCAATACAAAATATCTGTCTATGGCATGCCCTAGACCTCTTCTGTAACAAGCCAGAGGATTATTAGTGATCTGCTGCTGATCATACTCAGGAATACCAAGCAAGGTACACCTGGACATGTCCAACTGAAAACATGTCATGTTACCAAAGATGAATAATGACGCATTACTTCACACACTAATCTACCTTGTGAAGCTAACAGTCAACAAATCCCTCCCTTTACATTGTCCACAATATGCATATAACACTGGAAAAGTAATCACACTTTAGGTAGACCATCAGCTAGGCCAGGACTGTGGAATGTCATTTTCAAATTTCACACACAGTCAGTGAGACACTAACTCTCAATTTAATCACTTTCGAATGAAAACAGTGGCATCAGTACCAGGAATCTTCCTAGAGGGTAAAGGGCGGCCAGGACATAAGGCTGACCCATACTGCCATTTATGAACAAACTGTGTAGAGAAAATGTGGGAGCCTTGACGTCTCACAACCCCATGGGCCTCCGTGTCCTGTTTTGTTTGAAGGATAGCTTTACTTCCATAAGAAGACATCCTACTACTAATTAGATGTTTTCAAGCTGGTGAAATTAATTCCCTCCCAGAGATTTCTTCACTGTCATGATAACACGAAAGTCACATTGGCCAATGTCTAAGAAATAACATGGGTCCTCAAGAGTTTCCACTGCCACTGTACTTCTGATATGAACATCCTGGTTGATTTAATCACCCTAATACCGTTCGAAATGGAGTACAAATTGTGAAGCTCCTCATCATGCAATTGTCTCCGCCTGCCATATTTTCTCATAGGCACTATAGCATCCAGTTCTCATGTACTCTTAATGTGTCACTACTTTAGGGGAGAGGCCAAGTTTCATATTCATACGAAAATATTAGTTCTGCATATTGCTATGAACAGCATAGGTAATGGTCATAAAAACATGATCTGGTATAATTATGGATTGTAAGGAATGAACTCAACATTCATGCAGTAGGACTAAAGGCAAAACCACGTGCAACGCCAGTCAAGAATCTACATTACACTTCTGACTATGGAAAAAGTCAGAGTCACTATAATCATTTGCAACTAAATTCTCAAATCAAATTCTGCCTGAGAGTGTAATGCAAAATGTTGAATCAGGAAGTGGTCAAAATGCATATAAAAAATTTTTCATGAACCATGAAAAGAGAAAATTTGGGTTCTAAAAATCTGACATCTCTAGCACCATTGTGGATGAAGTTCTCAAAATGATCACACAGTATACGTAGGCCCATAAAAAGAAAGGTCCAAAACTGAAAGTAAGTGACTTACATTGTTAATAATATTGCACTTCAGCATTATATCTGTGTTAACTATTTGTTACACGTTGTGCCAACACAACTCCTGATAAACTAAATAAATTTACATATACTGTTTTTATTTTTTACAATATGTTTCAACCACTTATGGCCATCATCAGGAAAATCATTTTACATTCACACTCTACTTTTTGTGCTATTTTTTCCCACTACATTGGTCAATGTTTACATTTCATGGGGCAATGCCATGTGTGTTATTTACAACAATCAATGCCAGTTACAGTTCATATGCAAACTTAAACTATGTTACGTTGAAATAATTAAGATTTTTATTATTATTATGAATTATTCAAAGTTCCTCTTGTAGTTTTTAAAATGTTAATTTATTTGGTCATGCGTTAAATGATCTGTTTTCAAATATAATTTTGTATGTAAATGTATTTATTCATGATTAAAATTTTTGGTATTGGTTACTGCTGTTGAATCATAGTGGAATGAGGTCTTCATGTGCGTGATCTGAAAAATTAATATATTATTAGTGTAATAACAACACAACAACAATGAATATGACAACAGTGGTTTATATAAACTCAAACGCATCAACTGTCTGTTACAATCCACAGGTCAAAAAGGACATTCCTTCAAAACACGATTCAATGAACATGTATGAGCAATAAAGACATGTCTACATATGCACAGCACATGTTAAAGACACGATATGTGCAGCACATACTGAACAAAGGACATTCATACAGGAACACACAAGATACAATGGATATAACACAAAGCCAGTAAAGTTAGACATATGAATAATATAGGCAAATATCACATTTTTTGTACACAAAAACAAAACAAATGAAATATTGATTTAAAAAGTCCCACATTTGAAGCAATATAAACCACTACACTAACCAATAACATGGGGGGGGAACATGCCTCACCACACAGCAGCACCAAACCACAGTATCAATTCCATACAATCACTCATGCAAGATAAGTAGAACACCTAATCTAACCCAAAGTACTATCACAACACATACATAATAATATTTAACAAGAAATTATTTTCATATTTCAGTTTTAATAAATGAGCAAATGAATACATACAAAACTAATGCACATGTATCAAAATGAGCACCAGTAAGAGGACATACTGTGGCATACAGACCTGCTGCTAAGTGGGGACTCTGTAAACAATGATAGTTTCTGGGCAATGGATTGGTAAACACATTCCCACGGCAACGAACACGGACCCAATAGTAGTTACTGTTGGAAATTGGGTGTTTTCTATGTGGTCTGTGCAAAACCATTGGTATGCAAAGGCACAATAAACACCTCTACAACAATGGAGAGGCCATGTTTTCTGCATGCTCTGTGCCGAGGAGTTATCTTGAAGACAATTGGGGCAACCCAGTTCTGCATGGGAGACTGAGAATAGATGACATTATAATGAAGTTGACAGTTCAGTTGTGCAGTATTAGCCAGCAGGCAATGACATGAACACAGAAGTTGAAGAATCTCCATTAAGATCCACTGCCAGGAAACGGCTAGTGAAGACTCTAAGAGACTGAGCACACTAATCTGTGTGTGACACTAATCTGTAATGTGTAGACACAAGTCATGAGTGTATAAGTGGTCAATAAATCGCGTCACCAATCCGAACCCTGTCTACAGTCACCCGTATACATGACAACATACACTCACATCACACCATGAATATACATTAATGCAACAATAACAGATTAATTTTTCAGACTACATAAGTGAAGAACTTGTTCTACTGTGATTCAACAGCAATAACAAAGGCCAAATATTTTAATAACAGATAAATATTTTAAATACCAAATTATACTATTCTAGACTTTACTCTTTTATCTTAACACGTTCCATGTTATTTACGTGAGCCTGATATATAACATGCACTACATCAGGTACACAAATCTTTGGCTGCTGTCTACAAGAACAGCCTAATACTTCCTTAACAAAAATGTAAACATTGCTGCAATTGTGTGTATAGCCAGAACTGGGTGCATATTTAGGTGGCTGTTTAGCATGTAAGCTGTCCAATCGTGAAGCAATTTTGCTGACTCCTAAGATGGCAACTGACTGTGCATGATGAGCCAGCAAGGCTACAAACATGGTTATAATCTTTTATGGTACTGTCCTAGCATTTGATTGGCTAACTGAAAAAACCACAAAAGCATCAATCAGTATAACTGTTTCAAAACTACAATTCAAGCCCTGGAACTTCTAAATACAAGGCAGAAATGTTACCCAATATCATGTTATGTCAGGGCTGACCTTTATGCTTTCACATTATTCTATTCAAGTGTGCTTATTTCTACCTTCAATTTCAGACCCACACCCATAAATATGTTTATAATTAACATGCTTTTACAAAAAAAAAAAAAAAACTTGTTCAGCCTTTGGTATTACTTCTCTAAAGAGATAATTCGATTATAGGCAGCTCCAAGTACTGTGAACTCTTGATAATTTAGCAACAGATTATCCAGTTTGCCCACGCAAGTTTTTTCTTTTGCTCTATATAACCACATATTTTTACAAATGCAGACACGTGTGATCTGAGCTCTCATCCTTTGCTTATCTTAAAGAACCAGTACAGGGTCAGACGGGAGAAGGCCAGATGGCTCAACAGTACTAATGGAAACACGGCCCCAGGTGGGTGGGGCCATAAATGATCCTTATTGTTCATTATTACAGGCAGAACTGAGTACGGATGCTGGAAACTGGTATGGGTATGAGTTTTATATAATTAGTTCCATAAAATATTTCAGAAGTCTAATAATTCAAGAAAGTACTGCTACAGAAAGTAGTTTTGTTGTTACACAATGCACCTTCTCAGCACACTGTCTTTGCAGCACAGTCTCATCATTTTAATGCTTTCTGCCTCAAAGTGTCACAGCCTAAATACCAAATACCATGGATCAGGGGGTGGTTGCATCAATGTCATTCAACTACTGGATCTGACTTTGCAGAACTTCATTTCCTCATGGTTCATTTCACAACACTCTCTGTGGTTCAGACATCTATCAAATAATTTGGTGGGCTGGATCTGATGTGAACTGTTACATGGTCACTATAAGGAAGCATTCCTGAAGCTTACTCTCCAGTAGTCAGAATTTCATTCGTGATATTTGTGTTTCTTAGTAGTCATGTTTGATGTGAAAACTTGCTAATTTATGTGCAGGCATCTATAATGAACAAAGCACAATGGATGCAGAATACAATGACTCTGGCTTAATCAGAGGTACCATCCCACCATTTGCATGAAGGAACTCTGAAAAACCATGATCTCAGTCAGGATAAAGAAACCTCCTGTCGAATATTTGAATCCATGACCTCCACAATACACAGCCACGGTGCTAACCACTTGGCTGTGTTGTTTGGTATAAGTCTTGTCAAGAACAATGTCAAAGTCACAACACTCTGGAAGAAAATGATATTCATATACATGCTACGTAGCCTTCAGCAAACAAGTAATGCTTGTTACATGAGAAAAATTCTTCCAGATCTAGAGAAGATGCTTTTCAAAAACTCTCCAATGAGGAAGTAGACAATTCAGAAATATGAGGCGAAAGTTTTGAAAGGATCTGAAAATGTCTATGGACGAAATTGTAAAGGTGATTGCGAAATGATTCATGTGAACTTGGTTTCCAGTGCATGTATTATAAGTGCTACCCAGAACAAAGGGATGAGGATGAGAGAAGAGAACAGTGATCAGGTTAGTCTGTTTATTCCCTGACAGACTACAAGGGCCACTGAGGGTGTGAACCATAACATTACAGCTGCAAAGAAAATCTGAATTGGTGTAATAGTCAAAAAAATTCACATTAACAGAAGATGTTACAAAAATTGCTAGGTAATTTGTGATGTGTCATATGTAGAGAACATAAAATTACCTTGGGTTACCTGCAACTTTAATTATTCATGAATCTTACCCCCATTCAATAGGCCTGATAATTAGAAACTGTATTTGCAAGTACACTTGGTCATCGACTTACGACCAACTTCCGTTCTGACTGCCAGCCCGTAAGTCGATCTAGTCATGTCGGCCATATATTTATTAACAGTATTTGTTAATCTAATCTTTTTATCATCTCCATAATTTATTTAAAAAAAAAATACATTTTAATCATCTTTTATTTTTCATTTTAAATACAGTAATGTTGCCTGTGTGTGGGAAGCCTGTGTTGCCAGATGCTCCCATAGTTATTGTACATGCAGCTGTCTGGCAATGTCCTCAGGCCTCCTGGCATCGATGTGCTTCAGTAGCACATCCTGATTTATTATTAATTAATTTATTTATCATTTTTTTGTAGTCATAAGTGCGGCCGGTCGTAAGTCGACGACCAAGTGTACATAATTTCCACTACCATCCTAGCACTCCTAATTCATATACCATTCAAACTCGCTGACTCATGAACACAAACCTTCCACATGTACTTAGAGAAGCACTGGTTAGCTCTCTCAGACCTAGCCATGTTTCCCATCAGTTCACTCACTGCATATCTTCATGCAGGATGTTATCTATAATATGCAATCTCAAATACTTCATAGTTTTTAAAGTGAAACACCCCGCAATACATTTGTGAACTGTAAAGTTTTAAGCTATGAATTACGGATGGCAACAAATCACGTTATAGCTTCATGCCAGGTCTTTATATGGCATCAGATATTAACTGCAGTATAACTGTGCACAAAGGAAAAATGAAATTTGTATTTCCCATGACCAGACCCTACACAGCTCAGAGGTGTACACTGAAAAAACTCTACATCTTTCATCCTATTAAGAAATTAAAAATACAAATACAAAATACAGAAAAATGTATTTCCTGAAGTTGAAGGAAGTAGGTTTCTCTAAAATGTTAGTAAAAATCTACAAGACCACATAATTTCATGATCCAGGCCATAATTTCAATTTCCACCACCATGAAAAACTCAAATCTCAGGTGTCTAACGCCCAACAAAAACAGATATGTTATTGAAAGCTACATAACTGAGCAACATTATCTGGAAAATAAACCAAATACAGAAAACTGTTAAAAATTGTACTAGTAAACACCATAATGAAACGTCACATTTCTCACATTTTACTTAATCCTTCTTCACTAATTTCATTTCACACACTTCCAATTATTGATTGTTAGTGCTGAATGCTAAACTGGAAGAATTGCGGAAGTGAACTGTTTTGATTCTAATTTGAAGTAATATCCTGGGATCTGCTTGAAAGAACTGAGGAAACCCCTGAAAATAAACTTCAGTTGAGATTACAACCCAGAATCTCCTGAACACGAAGTAGGAGTGCTAGCTAGTTTACTGTGACATTTGACAAAGTCACATGCCATGCTGACTTCATGACTGTTACACTTCTTCTGTCTATATGAAGGCTGTCACCAGTAGCAGTATATGTATAGAAGTACAAACTACTCTGAACAATACAAAGAGCCAAGTGAAAGAACATACAAAGTTCAAATTTCTACAAGGACCATTAAGTAAAACTGACTACAAAATGAGGACATCCAAAATGCAATGTCCTACGGTAAACTGTTATATGCAAACCATATGCAACCACCATACAAACTGTGCACCTAACCAGTTAAAACACATACACTCCAATATGCCAGTGTTTACATTGCACCTCTATAATTCTCTACAAAATAGCCAAAACCAAGACTTCAAAAAAGTAGTACTGTGATGAACTTTTTACCTCTACATACATACTAAACAGTTCAATCAAACAGTAAGAAAAATATGACCGATGATTATCGATACAATAAAAATTATAAAACCAGATACTCTTAATATAAATGACTACTGTTAATTTCTGCTTTCTGGCTTGCAGAAAAAATCTGCTTCAGCATTGTTCCAAACTCCATTCCATCAACCACTCTTAAAAGGAATCTATTTACTATGTGCCTAAAGGAAATGCTTACACTACAAAAATGCTGTTAAATGCAATATGAAATACATGTAATATAACATGAACAGATTATAAATAATCACATAAATAAAACTCGATCTATTAATACAGCACTTACCAAATAAAAGTTCGAAATTTCTCTACTTACTCTCGAACCGAACACATATGTTACCTTCCAATGTGTGGAATTACATTATTCTCACCTGTGAAGATGTGCAGGTGCTTGGTTCAGTAAGGTGTAGTACTGTCTCACAAATTCCCGACCTACACATTGGGGACTTGGGGGGGCTTCCATGACCATTTCCTAATTACTGACTTGTGCTTTTGGCAATAACAGAGACAAAAAATATAAAATAAGGTTGCTTGAAGAATATAAGAGTAGATGGTGGTGTGTATGCGGCAAATTAACACCTGAAATAGAAACATGTTACAAATTAAGGCCACATAAAGTACATATCAGTATATCGCATGACTTACTCTGCGCAGATATTCCTTTTATGGTTATCAGTAATTTGTACCGCCTAAGAAGCAACTTATTGGAGGTTAACCCATGGATATGTATACAAATGTTCAAACACAATGCCAGTCATCAAGATAACGTTCACATTACAATAACATTTACCATTCCAATAGGGGATGGCATATCCCTAACACTACTAAAAGTGCTTAATTTAAACTGGCATGAACAATGGAACACATGATTTAGACTATAAAGCATGGACGGCTGTTGGCGGGCAAATATTATGGGGATAGCTACCTGATTTTTGGTGTAAATCTTATATTGCAGTATCTCAAAAACAAGAACGATCCAAAACACTTGGGTGAAAAAGAGCCTGAAAGGCTACTCTAACATTACACAAGCATATAAGATTTTATACTTACAACAAACCAACAAACCCACCATACATGAACTTCGCTCACGGGTGCAGCATAAGAACAATTTTTCTAACAGTTCCTTATTATACTTACCGACAAAATTTGTTTCGTTTTTCAGAATGAAAGAAAAATCTTAAATACAGTGAAAAATATTGAGCTTTGCACAAATAATAAAATCACAAATATAGTAATAATTATATACACGACCTTACAGTGAACTACACGCACTCTGGTGTCAAAACAAACTTGCGCACAAAGGATGCGCAAGAACATGTCTCGTATCCTACAACACAGGATGTCGGTTCGAGATTAAGAAACCGTGGTATTAGTTATGTAACCCCCGGATGTCTAAGTGGTATAGAGCTAATTTGTAGAACATTGGATCTAATACGTATGTTATCAGTGATTTGAAAATATTCTTGGAATTGATATCATTTAAATGTTGAATAACGAGGATATGGAATTATGTAGATTAGAAGTTACGATACCTCACTGTACATAACCAAACCCAAAAGTATTTCTAGGACTCGTGATTGTTCCTCTGATAATGTGTACTTTTGATATTTGATGCACAAATGTCCTTAGTTCATTGATATAAATTGATCGAAAACAATCGAGCCAGAGGAAAGTATAATTCGTGAGAGTAAAATCCATTTAAAATGATTATGTTCGGCATTGATCAAAGTTAACTTCTCTACACTATTGTCTCCCTACACATGTTACGAACTGTTCCTGATCTTCCCATTGACATAAAATTTTTTTTAATTCGTAATTTTAAGATTATTTTTTAGTTTTCTGGTTCAAAAATTTAAATATCTTCTGGTCCAGGATACTAATTCTCACGAAATTCATTTACATTGTTTTCTATAACCACTGCTTGCCCATGATTTAATACTGCAAGATAATACCATTTTCATTGTTTACCATTCAACGTGTTGTCATCTGTCACCATTAGATAAGGCAAACAAGGCGTTCACCTGCAGTAAAAACACAGAATCACTATTATGCAAAAGAACTGCAGGCATCACAATTTTCATATTTTTCGATGTTCTTTTGTTTTTATTTCAGTGTGCTAATACACGGGTACTCCCTTCTACTAAACAGAGTATGCTACTTACATGTTCAACCGATCTACTTCATTTTTGCCAAACAATAATTTCAGAGTAAAAACCTACTTTTACTATCATAAAAAAAAGAGAGGGTTCTCACAGCCAGTACTTCAATTACAATGTTCTTACATCATGCTGGCAAAGTAAGCTCTTTGTCATTAGTCCCATTCAATATTTGCTGACATGGGCATATGAGAATCTGTATTGGCCTGGATTAACAAATAGTTAAATGTAACAATAGCAACAGGCTGGACAGCTGATTCATTGGCGTTCAATTCCCAGCAGGCACCAACCTTTATCCTCTGGCCTCCAGGCTGGTTCCTGTGCTCATCCAAGGGGTTCCCATGGGGATAAAGAAGCAGGGGTGAGCTGACCACTCACCTCCAGATCCCCATGTTTTCATGGTGTGCTTGGCATTTAATGTCTATTGAACATTATGGATTGATTCCACCATTGTAAAATGTGACCCCTCTCAATATTACACGCAAGTGGTGAAGCAGCCATTATACATTCCACATAAACATTACCTAGATGATCTAACTCAATCAAATGAACATGTTTGTTACCATGTTCATAATGAAAGTAGTCTTTTATAATACACTGGTACAAAAGTATCTCAAGTCTGTGCACTCACAAGGGGGGTGGCAATGTTACCTTGCACTTGTTCAGTATATTCTGCACTCTCTTGTCACACTACACCAGCTTCCTGCTTTGCTTTTTCATGACCTACCCTTTCCAGATGCGTTATTAATGTCTGTTATAAACATCTGATGGTTTTTAAAATTGCATATTTTTGGGATGATGGCATTCAAGTAATTCTGCAGCTAAGGAACTAATTTTCACATTTAAAACTGCTTCACTTGTGTTAAGATGTAATCTCAAAATTATATAAAAATCATTTTGAACAATCAAGCACCACTGTCAAGTCTTCAAGAGTACTGGCCCACCAGCCTTTCAAAATTTGTAGTCAAATCTAGGCTCTTCCTTTTGACTGCCATTAATCGCAGTTTTTGAAGTTGGCATATGCCAAGCAGCAGGTTTGATGCAAACGATGTGGTGTACCTGTGAGATTTCATGTATCATCCTTAAATGTAGATCAATGGAAAATCAGTAGAAGAAACCTGCTACAAAATATTGTAGGATGCTTGTGTAAACTAGAAGTAGCCAATAAAAGCAGCTACTGAATTGAATGGGATGGTAGGAACTTTTATTTCTCAGTGGCTAAACTTTGAAGAGGGGGGTTATGGTGCTCAAAGCTTCTGAAATGTACATTTTACCCTGTAACAAGCACAGGAACGGGGTGGGTAAGTGGGATCTTTATGGACTGATCTACCACATACTACTACTTCTGAAGCAGAAAAAGTACAGCTGGTAAAGTCAGCTGAAATAGTGCCAGCTAGTCAGCTATAGTGAAGGTGCAGGAAAAAGCACTTTTTCTATGTGGCTCTCCACATCATTTCAAACCTGACACTTCCAAAGACTCAAAAATGAACTGCTTGTTATAAAACATGCTTGATCTATCACTGATTCACAACATTCCTGTTTCTTACAGTGAATTACAGACTCTGATCCTGGCAATATACAGTAACATCACAAACTGACTACTCACAAGTTCTTCATTCTTTAGAACTAGTACTAATAATCTTACACTTCTTGTGTTTATTCCCCACAACAGATATACAAACACTGTAAAATTTGAGGCTTTCACGGCAGTGACTATGAAGAAAGCAGTCTTCTGGAATTTGGCACCGTGTATATGTGGTGTTAACCGACGTTTCGGAGGAATGTATCGCCATATTAGAGGCACTGAAGCCAGAAATTATCACAACTGTTATTCTTGTTAGCCACCTGTAAGCAGCTACAAATTCCTTTCACAAACAAGTGCTCCACAAATAAATTATCTCTAGCAAAGAATTGAAACTTACATTTGGCCAAAAGTTGATCTCAAACTGCTTACATACCCCTTACGACTACCAGATGTTCAGAGGTGGAAAGTCATAATTTATACAAACATACATTTATTCCAGTTCATCAGTACAACTCTAAAGTTGTACTGCCAGGCCATGATTTAACATTTATAACAAAATGCTCAGTTGTTAAAATTGCGATGTTTATTTTTCGTATGGTCATGAATCATGGAAATACAAGTGCAAATGTAACAGATGTTACATCCAACACGAAAGCTGCTGATCTTGACAAAAGTTACTTCACTGCATCAGGAGTGCCAAAGACGAGCAACTGTCACTAGAATCCCATGGTACCTCAAAGCCTTCTTCCACTGTCTTACATACTGAAGTAACCTAAACACATTTTCATAATAAAAAAAAAAACCGGTACTTTATTCAACTTCACACTGACTCCACCTTTCATTAATACAACCACATAACACTACTGAAAGTTTATTTTCCAACTGCAGGACTTGGTGATAACTTCTGTCTGAATAATGGAATGATGAAACACGATGACATGGTTGGTGAATAGAAGGACACCATGTGCACTAATCTGCTGCTGAAAATAAAGAAACAACTATATATATGAAGTTCCATGAACATCCTACTACTCCCACTGGACATGAAGCCCAGCATCTAACATTATAATCGATCGTGTTGAACTGTAACTATTCAAATACATGTTCCTCCTGTCAAATAGCACACTACAATGGGTTAGTACAAAAAACATAAAAGTAACTTAGTATAAATTCAAATCTACTGGGAAAAGGGTTGCAGAAACTCAAAACACTTAAAATTTTGAAACCGTATTAAAAAAAAACATGCACAATGAGTTTGGGTTCTCTTACTTACCAAGACAAAACACAAGAGTGACAAAGACACAGAACTGAGTTAATACGGCTGATGTCTCTGTGTTTGGCGGCTCCCACCCCTCTGCTTACCACTGTAACCACCACCTGTACTGCCTGCAACATTCAAACCCCTACTGTTAGCTTGACCCACCCTTTGTAAGAGGGCAAATAACACAATTCAGAAAATGCCAAAATAAAATTCTACATGTGCAGACATATTCAGCAGGCTGCAACTAAGGAAAAAAAAAAAACTACATCACTATCTCGGTCAAGTTACTTAGCATGTAATAAGATACTTAAACACTTCAGGAAGCAAAGGACCAAAATACAAATAGATGCAACTGTGGAAAGCCGGACTTTTTATACATGACAGAACTACAACTCTCGACTAGAAATAAATGGGGAAGAATTACTATGTTAATATCAACAAAATAAGCATATGACTAACTCACTGGCAACAGATTTTGAATACTATGCACGCAGTATGAATTTGGAAACTAGGAGTGGCAGCCAACAGCATGTTTGACAGAGCAAGGCACACTACTTTTCCCTACCTGAAAACACCATTCAAAGGCCCAATTTCAAAGCAATGTTTCAAACCCAATTTCATGTAATCTTATAAAATGTAGCAACTTGAAGGTAAGTATATAGCAGAAATTTTAGAAACTGAGATGTTCAACTGTTCATCACTTATGAACCCTCTAGTTTGTTAGGCTCAGACTCCAACCACCTGGAAAGAATCAAGTTTGCATACCCCTGTTCCGTGTTTGTAAGAATTTATACTAAGCTCACAGTTATAGGAAGCAAGCCACACACATCACACAAACCACTGTTACTCCCATAAAAGTAAAGAGGAACTCATGCTATATTCCAAAACAGAAGCTACATCTTGGCTACAGATGCCGTTGGTTAAATTAAATCCAATTCTGAAAACCACAAACTAAAAACAATACTGCTAAATTATGTACTACAATATTCCTCAAGCAAGAGTTACCTTGGAAGCAAAGTTGGAAAGGACACAGCAAATTTAGCATGACTACACCAGGTAAAAAATAACTTCAATTCCTATAAGCATCATCTACAGACAGATCAACAGCAAGTAGCAAAAAAGATGCACATGAGTGAACAAAACACAAGTCATCATATTTGTACCTTTCCCACGGCCACCACCTCTTCCACCACTGTATCCGCCTTCATAATTATTGCCGTAGCCTCCGTAGTCTGGAGGGGGGAAACAGAGTAATGAAATTACTTATCAGCGGTCTGTAAAACGCAGCATTAAATGAAATGTATCAAACTTACTCATGCCCCCCCCATAAAATTACTATATTTCACCCCAACAAGATTTAATTTACATGCGCGAATATGTATATATGCATGTGGTCAACTGACAACATTCATAAACACGCTCCACTCCCAAATCCCGATATCTTGGAAATCTGTCCATGTGGCATACCTCAAAAAACTTGCAGTGTCAAGAGATTTCCAAAATGGCAACTGAACTTCACTTATTACAGCTACCGTATATTCTAAATTTCTCTTGATATTACATTACAGTGAATATGCCTTTGAGGCAATAATATTTCAAAATATTTTCATACTGAACTACACTAAACAAGGTCACAATTATCAAAGTGAAATGCATTGATCCCTAATGCTCAATACTTGGGGTGCAGCATATAAGTCAAACATCCAACACTTGCATGTAACTAATGAAATGGTGACTAGGAACCACAGAAAAGTTTTTAAATGGCCACCAACAAACTTAGGGGTCAACAATTTTTTGGAACAAAAGCTTGATAACTCATATACAAGTGAAAACATAAAGAATAAAAGGCATCTCAAAAGCCAATAACTAGGCACCACCAGAAAAATAACATTCCATGATCCTAAATTGATCCAATTTTTAAGGTAGAAAAGCAAAGCCACTGAAGCATGACTGTACAAAAGGATCACGTGAATAATTAACAGCATCATTATCCCACTTAGTTTCCACAAATCGTTACTATCAAAGCTGACATAAGGAATTTTTACTGGCAAAACATTTCAAACCATTACCTCAGTGAACTTCACGAAATCTGTAACTCTGACACAACTGTCATTAAGGAAAATGATGATTAGCTTTAAAATACCAACATGTGTGTAATGTGCCAATGAGCAGAAAAGAAATTATTGAATTTTTATGTAACTAAAAATTTGAATGACTTGTGTGTAATGAGACTGACAATGGTGTGCAGCTTATTCCCAAGACTGACATTTCCAAAACATTAGCAGACACCTATTATGATTTCCTCAGTGGTTATGTGACAATTGGCATACATTGTGGTTTTGACAAATTCTAAGCACATCTGTTGAAGAGATATTCCTGGGTACCCTGTTATACAACATGGAACATTTATAAATACTTTCCAGCGATAAAAAAAATTGAAATGGAGAAACCTCTCATCCTGTTTCTTGAAACGTTTTTAATGCCTATGGCACAACTCAAATGGTTAGTTGCTTGCTTCCCACCGCAGCGGCCCAGGTTCAATCCTGAGTCTGGCAAAGTGGGATTTGTGATGGACAAAGTTGCGCTTGGGCAGGTTTTCTCCAAATACTTCGGTTTCCCCTGCCAATCTTCATTCCACCAATTGCTCCACAATCACCCTCACCTATCATCTGGGGCTGGTACAAAAGGCCAGAAGTGGCCACAGAACAAGAGACTTAGTCCCAACCCACTAGCCATAAAAAAATGCCCATGGCTAATGCATATTTCCAGTCACAAAATTACTGAATTCTCCATTTCTTAAAAACTGGGCTTCACATTTATTCAGTGGTATGGTATACCTGCTGATGTGCTGCTTCATGTATAGGCAACACGGAGCCTCAACAGAACACCTGAGACTGGAAAACCAACCATGAAGTGACAAAACCCTAACAGTAGCTAACATGTAAGATTTGAGGCTTTCACGGCGGTGACTATGAAGAAAGCAGTCTTTTGGGATTTGGCACCGTGTATAAGTNGCTAACATGCTTTCAAATTTGCTAAGTACATGACAATGCGTCCATAAACTGTTTTCGTATCAGCACTTTCACTGATTTCCTGTAATGAATTATGCTTCCTACTTTCATTATTTCCTAAATCACCACTGCTAGTGGGCTGTAATTCCATATCCTTGCAAGAGTAAATGACCTCAAATCAGGCAAAATTCTTGACTAATGGACAATGATTCTCAAAACAAATACTGCCACTTCAACCTCTTTAGTTACCACTTAACATGCCATTTTGTGGTCAACACAGAACATGCATTGTTACTGCCTCCAGGAAGGGGCAGCAAACAACTCCATATGGCTGCTGCCCTCTTCTGAAAAATGTGAACTACATGCAATAGTTGGCAGCCTGGGGGAAAAAAAAACGACATAGTAAACGAAATGTGAAATTGTGAAAATTTTCCTCGCCACTGAAGGGAATAAACGCATAAACCGCCCCACAAACATTTTCAGAAAACCTGCATGCTATTGAACACCTGCACCTCACATATATTTAATGCACACAAATAGCTACAAACAAAATTCTAATGTGAGTTACAAAGACGCAAGGTCTGCTTTGTTACAATGAGTAATTGTAAAAGTTACAATCCCAAAATATGTGAAGTATATGGTGAGAGCAACAGGAAATCAACAGAATCATAAATGAATAGCAGGAACTGAAAAGCAGAGAAAACAGTAACAAATAAAGCTCATACATGCACACCGTTGCAATTAGTGCTCAAAGGAAACTCATTTTTTATCAGCAAGATGAAGTGACCCCACCATGGTTCATTTTAAAAAATAAATTTCTTCCCACTTCAAGCCCAGAAGCCCTGCCACCCTCACACAATTCTGAATTACAGCAAAGTTCATCTCTCTGCTTATTTGCCCTGAAAATTTTGATCTACAAATTTCAATTCCCCACAACAGCAAAACCACTTTAGCCTTTGCACACCACAATCCGAGTAGCTCCAGTTAGTACAGGGATTCTGTTAACAGATGGCAGCAAGTGTGGTACACCCATTTAGAAGCAAGAAAAGGCTTTTGAGCAATCGGTACCCACGGCTGTTTCGAAGGTGTGAATTTTTATGCGCAACTTAATTTACAACCAAGCAGCCTTGGCATTTCTGATTCAGTTCTATGAAGGGTTTGGCAATCAAAGGGTTAAGTTTTTTCTTCATAACAGTGGAATTTAATGCCAAACCAAGAGAATGCAATTGACTTCAGATCAAAAGCCTGAAATGAGTAAAATGTTTAATCAACAAAAATTAAATGTGGGTTCCACTGCATTTAAAATTACCGTACGAATACATCCCTGAGCAACAAATGTATCCATGCACAGCAAATGTGCATCCAAGTGAACTTCATACACCAAATGACACTATCTCCAATCCTCAAAAAAACTATTGAAGTAAAGTTAATATTACCAGACTGCTTAAATACCCCTCACATTGCTATTGTCTGTGTTAAATATGCAGTATAAATATCTTCTACATTACGCTAAGGTTACAGGAGGAAACAACTCACAAATCAAATTAAAACTCATATAACTAAATAATTACCATAATTTCCATATCCACCATATCCAGTGTAATCATAACCACCATAGCCTCCGTAATTTCCATACCCACTGCCATAATAATCATATCCTCCATAACCTGAAAGGCAATGAACATTATCAATACACGACTGAAGAGACCTCAAAACTAATTCAAGTCTTCCCAACAGTTAACTACATTAAACACAGGTTTATATTACAATTGCATGAAGGGTCACTTTAACCAACATACATTCGCAGACACCAAATACTGATATATCCAGACATTTGTAAATTTATACTGACATACTAAAGAGCTCTAGGTTACTTGTTAAAAAAAAGGGAGGCCAAATCTTACAGAAGGTGGAATCAAATTTAATTCCATACTGCACTAGAAAAAAAAGTGAATAATGTTACATAATCAGTATAATCAAATTCAATGAATCCAATTTCAGTCACACTAATATCTGGTAGCTATGTAAGATCTGAGGTCAACATTAAGGGCACTATCTTTCAGGGTTACATGCAGCCCACTGAATGAACTGATGTTCCAAAGAATATATCTCGTTTTCAGGGTTGGGGCACACTCTGCTTGCCATGTATTTCACAATGGCATATTGTTCGGTTTATTGTCTGTTCCTGAAGATGTACATGAAGTTCCTCCAAAAAATCAGATGACTTTAAACAACCTACATGGCATTATCACAGATGTACTCTGCTTCTACTAGCTAATTTAAGTTTATTATAATCTATTTCCACTAAGATATAAAAACTACCATTTATACAGAATACACAGGCCAGAAGTGGCCACAGTAAAAGGGACTTAGTCCCAACCAACTAGCAATAAAAACAGAATACATGTAATTTCTGAAAACTGTGTCCCAATATTCACTTTTATTTTCCAGAGACAGACTGTATTCCAAACTCCATACAGTATCATTGTAGACCCAACATGCAATCAATTTCTCAAATACTGCAGTTCATTTTATAAAGTACTGATAAAAACATATCAACCGAACAAACGATTTCAGGTACTTGAACTGCTTATTTAAACCATCTCAAAGAAATGCAAGAATTAAACTTTTCAAAAGACTAATTTTACTGTAAAGCATAAAAATTAAGCCGAATAGTAGCAATAAGCAACGCAGAAATTGCGTACCTCCATAGCCTCCCTGGTCATAGCCGTAACCACCATATCCGCCCTGGTTACCCCACCCTTGGCCTCCGTAACCTAGTAAATGGGTGGGAAAACAAAGTCCATTACAACCCCAAAACAAAAAACTATAAATTACTGAATAACAAAACCACATAAAAACCGGATAAAAACAACAGGATGTGGTAACGAGGGAACAAATGTATCTCTCTTATTACTGATGGGCTTAAAAAAGAAAATGCAGTCCGAACATGCACATACTCAATGCAATTATAAAGTGTCATATCGCTCAGATCTTTGTAACAAATCACATCAATCAGCGGTGTCCTAAGTGGTCATCACTGCGATCACACGCACTCTTGCACGTGCACACACAAAAAGCACCGACTCAATCAACACTTACAAGAAAATTTGTATAAATTTACGTTTAAATTTACATGGTATTGTGCAACATTCGTTTTCCAAGGTACACCAGCTTGTTCCCCCTTACCTTTCACCCGTGTGTCCCTACCTCCTCTCCCTCTGCCACGACCACCTCTTCCACCCCGACCTCCTCTCATTCCACCTATTCCATCAGGTTTTGGAGTAGCTTTCTTAACATCGACCTGTTGGAATGTTAGAAGAAAACATGCAGCATAAACTAAAAAATAAAGTTACATCCAAAACCTAACATTCTTTAACTGGTGGCAGTGAAGACTACCAATACCTTACCCTTGAACCATGCTGTTAAGACACTTTTCAGCCGATGTCTCTCACTCATATGCACATTATACTAAAGTTACAAGCTCTACTTTACTATACAGTAGACCGCACCATAGCTCAAGTGGTTAGTCGCTGGCTTCCCACCACAGCAGCCCAGGTCTGGTCTGGTCAAATGGGATTTGTGATGGACAGTGGTGCTGGGGCAGATTTTCTCAGAGTATTTTTTTTCCCCTGCCAATCTACATTCCACCAAATTCTATCATCATAATCACACAGGTCAGCTACAATAGGCCAATCAGCAGCCGACGTGCCGAGAGGACCCAGGTGAACTCAAACCACCACATGAATCTAAATGTATTTATGATTCAGTCACTGTTCTAAAGTTTCATACTATTCAAACGAGTCCAAGTGCACAGATCACAATGTTATCTTTGTAATGCAACTGTTCCAACCATTTTGCACAAAGCCAATCAATAAAATTACAATACGGCATGAAATTATAAAAATACAGTATGATCTTGCTGCCTGCTAGTAGTACTAATTCTGCTTGTACATGGATATGCCAATAAGCTGTCTTGCCCATTTAAAACAAGTACCTGAAATCTTGATGTCAAGAGGTCATGACTGAATTATGAGTAAACTTCATTTTGACACACATTCTCTCTCTAAATCCGCAACACACCAGCGATTTCTGCCATGTCACCATCACGTGTGGAACATGCCCCTAAGTTTGTTTTTGCCTTTGTTACACCCTACTTATGGAACTTCTTGGCGCCGAGCCCTTCTCAGGAACCCGCCAGTTGTGCTGCTACTCAAAAACTTCCCAACATTTTATGGAACCCAAAGGTTCATTACCATGTTCACAACAGCCCTCACATAAGTCTCTACCCCAAGCCAGATTTATCCAGTCCATACCACCCCACCCTATCTAACAACCATTTTAATATTATCTTCCCACCTATGTCTAAATAAATACAAGCATTAAGATACTCAAAAGCATGATGCAAAACTATTGGTTTCATAATATCCCAACCAGTACAGTTCATTTCTGCAACTGAGTGTTGCATATAACCTTCCTGTAGCCACTAAGGGCCCTGCACGTCAGACCTCATCCCCAGCTTTCAGATGTCAAATATGTAAACTCAAATTTAATCAATAGCAGAACGCTTGAAACAAAATTTAATGCAAATACAAACTTAATTTATTTTATTGCCACCACATGCCTCTAGTAATCAAAACCCCCAAAGCAGCTACTTTTTCCTGTACCAGACTATAGCCTACGTCAGCAAATATGTTTCTGAAATTCTATCGATTTTAAGTCCTTCATTTTCCCCCTAGGGAATACAGTAAAAATTATGAAGAACTTTAGAATCACTTAAACACTTGCGAAGACATTATCATTAATCAATGGTCAAGCTATGACACAAAAACTTGTATTACCTCCTTGCCATTAATAGACTGCTTTGGTGATTTGAGCAACTCCTGGACAACTTGTTCAGATTCAAATGTGATGAAGCAGAAACCCTTCCTCTGGTTCTTTGTCTTGTCAAATGGCATTTCAACTTCTACTATCTGTAAATAGGAGACCCAGCATACAAGGGCGTCTTAAGACATCAAGGAGATATGATCAGACATGTCTGTACTTAATATCACACCAAATTACACAACATTAATTTAAAATCTGAATGCTTCATGTAATGTTGAATAGGATCATCATAGTAATATAATTCTGGACCCTACACAGGATGACAAGGCCCATTTTGTTACCCTACATGTAATGCAATACCAGCATTAGACTGAAAATCTGACATTTGGCAAGAACCAATATGCAGTTGCAGTGGCAACGCAGATCTTTTTCAAACATGTAGGTAGAGAAGCAGTGTTAGGAAATTAATATCAGAACTATGTAGAAACAGAAACGACTATTTTGTATGATAACTGAACCTTTATATGCAATTTTGTCCCTAAAAGTGTTACTTTTTAACAGGAAATTCATCTGTCATAGTATCCCGAAAGAGTTGTGTACAACAAGCTTTTGTAAGCTGTGTAGGTTTGCACCTTTCTGGAATATTTGAAGTTGTTTTGCACAACACAAACACCTTCCCAGGTGTCTTTCCCCCCTTAATACTTGCGAAAGTCACCTTGCTTACATAAACACAACTCAACCTTTAGGTCCTGACACTTGAATGAAATCCAGTTTACTTTATTTTTCAGTCACCTTGTAAACCAAATTATACATATTAAAAGCTACCATAAGCACTGGGAAGACCACTACCCCTTGTACTCTGCTTCCTGAGCAACACATGTTATGTTCAGGCACCTTGAATTAGAAACCCCATACATAATAAAGGTATATTTTTAAGCCTGCTGAAGTTGACACAAAAATTCGCAGTATTTGTCCTCAGCTGATAAGTCTTGAACACATAATTATCATGGGTGAATTTACCTCCTCATTTATTTATATCAGCTGAGATACAAAAAGCCAGCTGGCTTGTGAAATAATGCCCAGTTCCACTCTAGTGTTGACCAGATAAATAATCAGGCAACACTCAGTGTCATAATAAATAAAATGCTGGCACAATTTATGTCATAGGTTCCAGAAACAAGCATCTAAGCCTTCTTGAAACTATTCTTTATCAAATACGAAATGAACCTTTGTCAAAATCCCAAACATCCTGTCCAAGAGGTGCTATCAAAATTACAAGGGTCCAAGATAAATATAAGCAGTGATTACAAGAAAACTTTAAATTTACAAATGGAAAAAAATGACAACTCCAGGCTTATATAGCAGTTAAAGTTTAGGGCATCTTGGTGGAACATATGTAAAGGTCACATCATATTCCATCAATTACATACCGTTCCATATTGCGCAAAGAAGTTCTTGATATCATCATCAGAGAGTTCAGGTACCAAACCACCAACGAATATCTTGCCATGACGTGCCTTTGCTTTCTTTGGATCCACCTTTTTGTTGTTAATAATGTGATCTCCAGCAGATAAAACCTATGAAGTAAAATCAAATATAAATACCACTGCAGCACAAACTTTCTCCTCCATGCATATTCAGGGCGTGGTATGCCCTGGAAGGACGCTTCTTTTACATTTATAACAATGTGTGCATGTACACTAATTACATCATGCATACCAAATGTGGAAACAGTGAGGTGTGTACAAGTAAACAGCTTTGTTTCCTATCCAAACCAGTCTAAAACAAGGAGATGCTTTACCCCTATTGCTTCAGAATATGCCATTATGAAGGTCCAGGGAAACCAAGCGAGGGTGAAATCGCAGGTCTTTGCTGATGTAAATATACTGGCTGATAACACAGAAAACATAGATATTCCAGAAACTCTTAAATGATGCTAGCAAGAAAGTTGGTCCACAAGTAAATGCAGAGAAAACTAAGCATATGTTGCCATCTCTTCAACAGAATGCAGGGCAAAATCATGACATAAAATTGCTCAGATCCTGTGAAAATGTGGCACAGTTCAAAGCAGCCGTGATCATCAATGTCATATACTGGCTGAGCTGTGAAAAATTTCCTCACAGCCAACGATGGGTTGGGCACCTGTCACATATTTAAGTTCCCACCTACTCCATATGGCTGTGTTCAAATACTAAACCATGTTTTAGCATGAATTTAAAACTGGAGTCTTTGTAGCATTATTCAACAAACCTGTGAAAAATTATGCGAGACAATATATAATAACTGAAAAATGTAACTGCAGCACACCATAAATTACTTTCTATATGTGTACTTCTAAATATTAGATGTAATTGAAACACATATAAAAGCATTTTTTCATAAATCTTAAATTAGATTTCACCATTATAGCTGGGAACTAGGAGGAAGAAAGGTGGATTGCACTGCAGGCTACACGGACTTGCAGAGTACAGTACATATTTTCAGTTAGTGTCAGGCAGCACATATACAAGCAACGACTGCAACCAGCCCACCAACTTCAGCTCACCTCCAGCCACTGTGATATTCTTGCTATGCTGTCTCCAGAGGTGCTCATGTTCTCTAGTGGCATTGCTGCAAAGGGTGCCTAAGCTAGTCAGTAGGCATAGGTCATCTAGAGGAATTCTGGTTTTAGCAGCCAGGATATGAAGATAACTTTTGGAGTTGGGTAGGCTAAACAGTCAATTAAATATGGAGCAAATTTCGCATGTGTGATATATTCAAATCTCTATCATTATACATCTGTAGAATTACTGCTTCACACTTCCACTAACCACCCACAACCCCTGAAATACCTTTCACATCTCTCCCAAGACACCTCCAACAGAGAAGGGGATTCATATGATCATCTTTGCCCGACAGAAAGATGGAACTTTCCTATTCATGCTCAAACTCCAGTTTCAAGGCCAAAATTGGACCCTTTCCCAATTGTGACATTTGGGTATCCAAGTAACCCTCTAGATCATCTCAAAGCAGGGACCACCCTGGGCTGGGCTTTATGGTCAGCCTTTGACAATGAACTCTCCTATTCAATCATGTCCGGAAATAAGGTCCACCTTCAAACATTCCCTATACATTATCATATTTCACACTTCTAATAACAGAAACCTTCCTTTTCTCTGTAATAGATCCCTTTTAAATCATGCACTGTTGGGCTCAATTTATTTCTCAATTTCTAAATTTATAGAGCTAGCAATTTTGTTCCAGACTTGAGGGGTCCGCAGAACATGAAATTCCTGGCTTAAGTCCCTACATGGGCCAAGCCATAGCTCAAGTGGTTAGTCACTGGCTTCTCACCGCAGCGGTCCAGGTCTGGTCAAGTGAGATTTGTGGTGGACAAAGTGGTGCTGGGCGGGTTTTCTCCAAGTGCTTTGGTCCGGGTCTGGTCAAGTGGGATTTGTGGTGCTGGGGTGGGTTTTCTCCGAGTGCTTTGGTTTCCCCTGCCAATCTTCATTCCATCAAATTCTCTATCATAATCACCCGGGGAAGGTATAATGGCCAATCACTGGCCACAGTACTATGTGGACCCAGCTGGACTCCGCCCACTAAGAATTTTTTTTTTTAATTTAAGGTCCTACATGGAACATGCCTGTATACAAGGAAAACCCTTAAAACTAGAACAATAATGCTGGGTAAATAAAACAAATATAACTTGACAGAATTTTACTATCTGTAGGGATATGGAGGGTACCATAACCTACCACATTCAGCTGGATGGGAAGCATATAATTTCTATCATAAACAATCATAGCTTTCATTCCAGGATTGTGTGATTGCAACCCTCCCTACCTAATATTACTGCTCTATTAAACCTATTATATTAAAGAAGGTTAACCAACAATTTTAACAATACCTTATCGATTGAATCTGCATGTGAGAAAACAATGAACGCAAATCCCCTGGATCTGCCTGTATTAGGATCAGTCTTCACGTTTATACTTTCAATCTCGCCATATGTGTGGAAATGCTCTCTGAGTTCCTCTACAGAAAGAAACACCGGAATCAAGAATTTGCCAAAAGACTACAAATCAAACGTTCACAAAAGCTATTTTCAGAACCTACTTTGTCATCAAATTCTTCAGTAGCAGAACTGACAGTAGTATTCATCAGAGAGAAAATGCAAGATGTGGCACAATTCCCAGATCATACAAGTTATCAAAACTTACATGCAAAATTGATACTTTTTTTTTTGTCACAAATGAACCAGAAAAGATTGGGCAAAGCCAACATTCAAGGTTTACTGATAACTGGTTAAGATAAACAAAAAATTATAGGTTACAGTAAATGATGCTTACATAATGCAGCACTGAATAAAGTTTAGATTACATAAAAGAATTTAACCAACACTGACACAATGAAATACTGTATAAATGAAATCACAGCTATCAAAACAGTGAATTCAAATCAGCTGCCAATTCTTACATGGTAAAACAGGTGTAAGTCAAGTATAGCTACCAGGCACAGCTAACTGTAATTACAGATCAATATTCATTAACATGTCAACTTTCAGTACTCAAGACCAAAAACATGTACACCTGTTATGTTTAAAATGAGATTTTGTATCCTTTCAGAAGTTACAGACTTACAAATTATATACATGACAAGCAGAAAAATGAAGAGAGAGTCCATCTTTTTAAGTCAAGAGCACTAAGGACATTAACACGAAGTAAAGGAAAATGAAACTTACTATCTGTTGTTTCCCAACTTAGGCCACCAACAAATAATTTCCTGCAAGGAGAGAACAAACGCGTCTAAGTTTCAAGTCCTTTACAAAATTCCAAGCATTGACGTTAAGACTTTGTACAGAAAGTGAGAATGCTTGACATTATTAGTTGTATCGTACTTTAGTCTGTACACCCTTTCAACTGCAGCAAACTGAACTGAACTGTCACTAAGTTCAAATGGCATCTGGAAAAATCTTGAGCAAGAGAAAAAATCTGTAAGAGTTTAAAATGAAGGCTTGGGTGACAAAATATGGCATTAAAGCACACGAACAATGAACAACTATTAACAAAAATGACCTCAAGTAAGTAAACAAAGAAATGATTATGGTCAAGTACTTTAGTGGCCCATCAAACAAAAGCAAATGGCCCTAAATCTGACCAGTAACCAAATGCTTGATGAGTTTACTTTGTGACCACAAGAAAGTAACCCAGGAATAAATACCATGGGTCAGCGGGCTGATGTCAGCGACCTTGCATCTTGCCTTATGAGGATGAGGCACCTGAAGGAGAGGAAGGCAGGTTAGTTTACAGAAACTCATCAACAAACCATCCTCCAAGAGTAAAAATACAATATTTAAACTTAAGCAAAAATTATCCACAATTACAAATATAAACCATTTACTCCTCTGCTGGGAAGCCAAATTACTCAAGTTCAGGAATCCAGTTAATCACTGCTATGAATGAAGCTCTGTAGGTAAAATATGAAGTATAGGCTCAAAATTTACAGTTCAAGCAAAGGCAAAATGTTTTAAAGAGATTAGTTTGAATACAATATCTATAATCTGGAACAAAATATGGCGTTTGTAAGACTCTAAAAAACTTTAGAATTTACCAAGTGATGTCATTAATTACGAGTTCAGATAATTGAAAGACAGACAAAACATCAATGAAACTACAACAGCTACGAGGAACCAGGGCTATGAATAAGGAAAAACTAGGCATGTCTAGATGTAAGCCAAATTTAAAATCTTTACTTGCAATGCCCTTATACCAGTATGTTCTGGACTGTCCCATACCTCCAACATTATTTTCACAGTGCATGCCTTAAGTTCACTAATAACACTTATCCATAGTCCATACAGTTCATTTGAAAAATTGCAATTTTGTAGGTAAATTCCTATGCCTTACCAATGACAATCTGACAAGACCAATTTTCGGCACACAATACCTACTATTAACCACAAAGCAACCACTCCCAAAGTCCCATTACTTTAAGCGATATGCTGAAAGAGAAGTATTTGTACTGGGTTATAGAGCAAGCCAAGTTATTTACATGAACACTTGTACACATAACAAATTTCGCTGTAACTTTCCATGGAAAATTGGACTGGCAAGTCTGTGCATCTGAAAATAAAAACCAAGATCCAAGGGCAACTTGGCTCATTACATTATCACTTTATGTAAAGTACGAAGCCTCAGAATTAAGAGGGAAGTGGTTGCAATTTTCAAAAATGCTTTCATTGTTAACACTGATGGTACACCTCGTCTTTCACTTAAAATCTGACTCACACCAATGACATCTACAGCACTCCAAAAACCCCTATAACTCATTTACCGCCTCGAAGCTTTTGCAAGCCGCCATTTTTAATCGGAGTTGGACAATAAATAGTGCAAGAACCCAGCATCAGAAAGAAGGCTTGTAATTAAAATACAAATCTTATGCTTAACACTTCCAATAAACAACATACTTTGTACAATAATTATCACAGCATAAATTACTATACGTAATATCTACTGCATCAATGGATGAATAGAGATACAAATAAGGCTACATGACGCTTCACAATCGCCATGTTGAAAATTATCAGCTTTATATTATTACTTTAAGCTACATTTTACAAAGATGGAAATTAGTACTATTATTACACCTAGTTATAGTATATATGTACTTTCAGTGCGAAAATTATAATAATTTTTAAATGTGTTACCTGTCATCATCGCGACCAGGTGCTTCTGCACTACCGCTATCGGCAGGAGCATCACCACCACACTCTTCAGTCCCTCCTTCACCATTCATTTGATCGTCCTGTTGTTCATACTGTTGTTCACCACCATCCTGTTGAAAGTCACCATTTCCCATTTCATATTCCTGGTTATCAGCCATTATTATACAACAAACACTTACACACGTCTTCTCTCTTTAATTGCTGACAATGGAGAGACAAGCTCAGCTAGATGCGTTCGTGCCGTATAAAATCAATAAACTCGCTCTACGTATTTTGTGCACCACAGCAGGCCTCAAGCCAGTTGGCCAGCCAACCTATTACGAACACCGCGCTGCGATAAATGATAATATCAATTCGCCAGCCCTCTGACGTCATCAAAATATAGTTCTGAAAACTACAAATTGAATATGAAACATAACACACAATGTTTCAGTTATTTAAAACAGACGACACATTTTTATTCAAAGTAGCATTTATTTCTTTTTTAGTGACGCCATTAATATAAAAACTGCTAAATTTATGTTTCAGGGTGCAATGTCCGATGTAATTACACGATTCACTTCTCAGTTCATTAGTGGTATAACTATTGGAATGTACGCTTATTTGTTTCAACACTTATCTGTTTCATGATTTTCAGACCCGAGATTAGAGTCAGGGATCTCCAAAATACAAAACAGAAACACTAACCCTTGTTCCACGGCATGGTCGCAGCTAAGCACTGCGTCGAAGCTATGTGTAAACGCGTGGAGGCGAAGTAAGAATTTTCGACCTTGGCACCAGTACGTGGGTGAACAGTCAGAATCGTCGGAATTAATGGTCTAGTTGCCGTACTTTCGGATCACAATTTGTCTTGTGTATAATAAGCCTATGTAAAAAAATGTACCTTACTAAACACGTAAGGAAGCCAGTAAACAACTGATTGCTTGTCTGCCTGGCTTACAAATTGCGTTACTAAGACGGTTATTAAGGGGGGCTTTTTCTTTTTTTTTTCCCCTTGGCGCTACAGCCCCAGTGGGCCTAGGCCTACCTCCATGAACTTCTTATCTCCGATTAAAGGGGCTTAGGTAAAGATAAAATTGTCCTTGTGTTTAATTAATTAAGCACTACGCCATAAGGCGTGTGGGGGAGTGGGTGCATGCATCCACATTTTCTTGACCTCAGCACTAGTTGGAGGTAAGTGATCAGCTTCAAGCCTCTGCCGCTTTAGCCGCGGGGAAAGAGCCCCTGATTCTCATTTGATAGGAGGCTGAGTCGGCCCCAGAGCCGGTCTGGACGACATGGAGAAAAGAAAATTCTTGACCCTAGCGAGACTCGAATTCTGACCCCTCGGTCGTCCAGCCCGTAGCCAATCGCTAAGCCGACTGAGCTAACCCGGCTCCAAGGGGGGAGGGGCTAAATCTAACCTAAGACGGCCGTGAAGGCAGAGTAGTTGTTGAAGAGGAAGAAAAAAAGTTATTAACTGACTGACTGAATGCAGAAATAACTGGAGAACTTCATCTTCTAGGATATAAGGCAGTCCTCTCCTGTGAAAGTCAACTGACATTTCGGACTGTTTGCTGGAAACTAAAGACTGAGACGTTATACGAATCTGAAATTTCGAATGACTTCTGCCGAACTACACTATGTGTTAGCCCACAAGACGGAACTCCTCATAACCACAGCTGTGTGAAGTAAATCTTTGGAGGATCTGGGGTTCTCACAGCAGTGGTTATGAAGAGTTCTGTCTTCAGGAATATAAGTCCGTTGAAATCCGTCAACCGACATTTCACAGAAACATCACCTCCATCTTCGGGGTCGAAGAATAAGCCGAGCACCTGCTTTCGCGCCTGTTTATTGCTCGGATTTTTCTTCAACCCTGATCATAGAGGCGGTATTATCCTCCGAAACATCGGTTGACTTTCAACGGACTACGCAGCCTTATATCCCAGAATATAGAGCTCTTCTCAGATCTCTGAACGTTGGATAGTTATTAAGCTCAGAATTAGACCGCGCCATAGCTTAAGCGGTTACTCGCTGGCTTCCCATCGCGGCGGCCCGGGTTCGATCCCGGGGTCTGGTCAAGTGGGATTTGTGGTGGACAAATTGGCGCTGAGGCAGGTTTTCTCCGAGTACTTCGGTTTCCCTTGACAATCTTCATTCCACCAAATTGCTCCGCAATCACCCTCATCTATCATTTGGGGCTGGTACAATATGCCAGAAGTGGCCGCAGTACAAGGAACTTAGTCACACCCCACTAGCAATAAAAAGAGAAGCTCATAATTACTGTGTTTTCGAACTTCGTTCATCGTCCAGTATTCTAAAAGCAATGGACAACGTCCAAAATTTCAGTAATTCTGAGTGTTACACACCATCGTCAGAACCCTTTAGAATCTACAAGTTATTAAACTGTTCAATAGATTTTGTTACTACGAAGTCCGAAGTTCATCATCGCTCCCGCCGTCACCAGAAGCACAGTCCTTCTCCAGAAACTGTTACTCATTCGCTACCCGACATCCAAAAGGTTGTTACCCTAATGACATGAGCCGCCACTGACACATCTTGACAAAAATGAATTCAGTCTACATCCACACACACTATTTCTTTGAGACCCATTCCAACATTATATTCCCATCTACACTTAGGTCTCCAGCTGTCTCTTTCGTTTAGGTAAAAAGTAAGGTGAAGATATCCCTGTAACAGGTCGTGAATGCTCATAGGATTGTGAGACGTCGAGGCTCCCACATTTTCTCTAGACATTTGGCTCACAGACGGTGGTAAGGTTCCACCAGTACGAGAAACCCTGCGGTAAAACGTAAGCTTTTTAAAGCTATCTCCGTAACAGGCTGTGCAGACACATAGGATTGTGAGACGTCGAGGCTCCCACATTTTCTAGACATAGACGATCGGCGGTGAGGTCGCCAGCTTTACGCGACATGTGTTTGAGGGGGGGGGCATCATTGATATACAGGTTAAACAGGGTTGGGGACAATGCAGAACCCTGTGGTACACCTGCTTGCATTTCTCTTCACGTGTACATTTCGCCTTCCACCGAAACACTGAATTTACGCTCTGAAAGAAAGGACCCATTAAGCTTGATCAAACTGTTGGAAAAATCCTATTTAGATAAATTATACAGCAAGTCAGAGTGCCATTTGGTGTCAAAGGCTTTTTCCATGTCCAAGAACACCGCGGCCGTAGACATTTTATTGTTGAAATTAAGGGTAATGTGGTCCGCCAGCGTCATGCATTTTAGTGTCGTGTTGTGACGTGCTACCTGCTCTCTCCGAACCCTATGAGCCAGTGTTTCAGACAATAACTTTCAAGATTCCTAACGGTACGTGCTCAATGACCTTCGGTCGGACTTTACGGCAACATAGTCTGTATTCAGGTTCTCTACCAAAGTAAAAGCAGCAACCCATTGCTTACACACATACCATAGATGTAATTAGTAATAACATTGTATCTGAAGGTACGTTTTTGGAATTCTTACTGCAACGTTGGATCATGCGGTAACGTAGTTGGTTAAGGCGTTATATTGCAAGCAGAAAGATCGCGGGTTCGATTCCCGATGAGGTCATTGGATTTTTCAATTGACCTAATCATTCCAGCCGCAGTATGGCCCTGAGGTTGTCTCAGCCTTGAACACAAATGAGTACCAAGAATGTTCTTGGGGGTAAGGACAGCCGGCGCGTAAGGCTGGTGACCTCACCGCCGATCGTCTATGTCTAGAAAATGCGGGAGCCTCGACGTCTCACAATCCTATGGGTCTGCACAGCCTGTTACGGAGATAGCTTTAAAAAGCTTACCTTTTACTGCAGGGTTTCTCGTACTGGTGGAACCTTACCACCATCTGTGAGCCAGATGTCTAGAGAAAATATGGGAGCCTCGACGTCTCACAATCCTATGAGCATTCACGACCTGTTACAGGGATATCTTCACCTTACTTTTTACCTAAACGAAAGAGACAGCTGGAGACCTAAGTGTAGATGGGAATATAATGTTGGAATGGGTCTCAAAGAAATAGTGTGTGTGTGGATGTGGACTGAATTCATTTTTGTCAGGATGTGTCAGTGGCGGCTCATGTCATTGGGGGTAAAAAGCTTTTGGACTTCGAGTAGCGAATGAGTAACAGTTTCTGGAGCAGGACTGTGCTTCTGGTGACGGCGGTAGCGATGATGAACTTCAGACTTCGTAGTAACAAAATCTATTGAACAGCTGACGATGGTGTATAACACTCAGAATTACTGGACTTTTGGACTTTGTACATTGCTTTTAGAATACTGGACGATGAACGTAGTTCGAAAACCCAGTAATTCTGAGCTTAATAACTATCCAACGTTCACAGATCTGAGAAGAGCTCTATCTTCTGGGATATAAGACTGCGTAGTCCACTGAAAGTCAACCGATGTTTCGGAGTATAATACCGCCTCTATGATCAGGGTTGGAGGAAAAGCCGAGCAATAAACAGGTGCGAAAGCAGGTGCTCAGCTTATTCTTCGATCCCGAAGATGGAGGCGATGTTTCTCTGAAACGTCGGTCGACGGACTTCAACGGACTTATGTCCCTGAAGACAGAACTCTTCATAACCACTGCTGTGAGAACCCCAGATCCTCCAAAGATTTACTTCACACAGCTGTGGTTATGAGGAGTTCCGTCTTGTGGGCTAACACATAGTGTAGTTCGGCAGAAGTCATTCGAAATTTCAGATTCGTATAACGTCTCAGTCTTTAGTTTCGAGCAAACAGTCCGAAACGTCAGTTGACTTTCACTGAACAGGACTGCTTTATATCCTAGAAGATGAAGTTCTCTTATTATATCTGCATTCAGTCAGTTAATAACTGTCTTCCTTCTTCTTCTTCTTCTTCTTCTTCTTCTTCAACAACACCTCTGCCTTCACGGTCGTCTTAGGTTAGCTTTAGCCCCCCTTGGAGCCGGGTTAGCTCAGTATGTACAGCGTTTGGCTATGGGCTGAATGACAGAAGGGTCAGAATTCGAGTCTCGGTAGGGTCAAGAATTTACTCTTCTTCACGTCGTCCAGACCGGCTCTGGGGCCCACCAAGCCTCTTATCCAAATGGGTAATCCAATCCCCGGGGGTAATGCGGTCGGGGGTTGAAACTGACCACTCACCTCCAACTAGTGTAGAGGTTAAGTTTGGTGGAGTTATACCTCCACACCCCATACGTCTTGATGGTTTTGTGCTTCATTAATTAAGTTCTGGGACAAGTATACCTTTATACCTTTAACATTAAACATTCTTTGTTAACTGAAAAC